CACATGAATCGGTTGCGCTTGGCGCCATTGATGCGGAGCCCATACGTGTTTGGATGGAGGTCCGCCAAACTCGGATCACACTTTTCTCTGTCTTCGAGTTCAAGTAAAGCCCCGCGGACGAGTGAGACGAGCTGGTTACTGTCGTTTTGCGTACAAAGAATGACTTGTCTTGCCAGCCACTAACGGCGATTGCACCTTCGCCGTGAGACGCATAACCACAGAAAGAGAGCTGATTGATCATGAATCCCATTTTAGTCAGTATAAGCTGTTTGTTGATGGAGAACATGATGTTGTCAGTTGTGAAGTTGGTGCGGATCTCGATAGGGTACCAGGCGTTTTCCTTCACATTGATTGACACGCCGTATTGACCCAGAATGTAAGCTCACCATGCATACGACATTAACACAATCATATCCGTACGCTAGTGTCGTGCTAGCAGAGCCTTTTCGTGTAAATGTTGGATAAGGTCTGTCATTCAAATACTCGGACACCACGGGATACATATCGTCGCAGTTGCCTGTAAGGTCGTATGCAATGGTGTAGCCTGCGCAGTCGTCGAAGATTTGGGACTCAAAGTTGAGCACGTAGTCTGTCTGGTTACACGTACGATGCGTATACCTGGACGCAGGCCGAGCTTAAAGCTGCTGTTTTCGAAGGACGCGCTTCACGAGTACACTTGGTTACCGGCATCAAAGCAGGCAGCAATCATGGCACAAGCGTTGAAACGGTTGCCGTTGTTGACCTGGCTGACTGAGCATGGAGGTGATTGTAGTTCCATTTATATCTTCCGTGAAGCGGTAAGTCTCAACCCGGCATGAGTTGGCGCTACGCGAGCACTTTAAGTACATGATATGACTCGAAGGGAGTGGTACTGCTCAACGCGACTTACCAAGAGAATCCCTATGTTGCCTTCCCAAGTATATCTATGCTGCGCTGGACCTGATGCTCATGAGAAACTTGAGAGCGACATTCAATTCCTGAGACACGATGAAAAATCCGCCCACATCATGGACCAACTCGCATGCCACTCGTACTGGGACGGGTAAGTCAGCATTCCGCATGAACTTCACAATATAACCACTTAATGGTTGTGGTGCATGCGCAGAGCATCCAGATCAAGCCGCAGCTTCAGACATCGATCGTCAAGGTGCACGGAAGTGCTGTACAATTCCAAGGGGATCAACCGCGTGAACATCGTCAAGAACGGCTGCGGCAAGGAGCCTCATATCGTGCTTCGAGTATGCTGTCCTTGGAGGGCTATTTAGTGCTGGTATCACCTAACAAAGTGTAGCGGAGAGCGATAAACGACGTGACTCTGCCCAGCGGTGAAGTGGTGGAGAGCGGCACGAGCTCCGAAACTTCAGCCGAGTCTTCGTGTCGTGTGGTGGCTGCCCGCTACTGTCAACATCAGGAACTCCAAATATGTTAAGGACGGTGTGGACGGCTATACACTCCAATTTAAGTGCAGCGTGGTAGGAGCAAACAGGTTCCTCGCACAGTGCACGAGATTCGAGGGCACCAGTGTCATCCTTCTCAAGGACACGTTGGATGGACCACGTCGTTGCTCGATGCACTCGTCTATGGTGGAGTCAATCATTGAGCAGTTGCAGCTCGATGAGACCACCGTATTATTACGCTGACGTCGTGAGCGACGTGTACAAAAATCGCATCGGCTTTGACTCCGAGTGCACGGGTACGTACCCCTTGGACCTAGAACGTGGAATCACTCGTTGCGCCAGCTCTAGCGTCTATCACACCACTGAGCCTACCCCCCCCCCCGAATCTTTTCAGTCTTTCAGTGGTGTTTCAAATATGATTGCATTGGCGATGAGCTCGGTGTCATGGCGTGGCCCTGTTCGCGCTCAATTTGGTTTCGTGATCTGGCGCTCGCGCAGGGTGATGCAGATTTTATTTGCGATCTATTCGACAAGATGTGTACGGACCCTTTCGTCCATAAGATTATCGTGAATACCACTATCGAATTAAGTTTCTATGGCACCATAATCTACGTTCTCTTCGTTATTCCACGAGCGAACTTCTCGAGCCATAGATCGCAGCGTTTGGTATGAAGTAGCTTCCGATGACTTGCACGGTTGGGTGATGCAGAAGTTATGCAACCGGATACAGGCAGACATCACAATTCGACAGTACCGTAACCGAACATGCCGTGATATTCTCCATTTGTTCACCAACAATCCAAACGCCATTTAAATGCGTATCCGAAGCTGTCTGCTGTAAAAATTACATTAGTCGCGGTCAACCCGGTACTCCAACTGGCCTTATTGAATGGGACCACAACGTTCTTGCTTTGAATGCACGCGTTATTACGGACAATAAAATACTTGCTAGCTGTGTCACGAATTAATTTGCTCAGCTGCCTGCGCTGAAAATCATACAAATCTTTCATGCCGCCAGGAGAATTTACCGAACGCCGTAAGCGAGAAAGGTGATCCGCGCACGCTTGGACGTTGAGTCCATATTTTGGTAGTGCTTAGAAAAATGAGGTTACTCGGCCGTACTCAACCTTTCGTAACCCTAGAATAGGGCAGAGCCAGCCGTTAATAATGCCAATGCAAATGTCAATGACACCACGATTGCTTAATGATTGAAACCCAGCGGCATGCTGCTTTTCTACGAGCCTTCTTGGAAATCGAGGGGCTAGGGTATTGGGGCCATTTATAGCAAATATTACGAGATGAATAATCGATAAAACGCCGAAACACTTACTCCCGTAATCACGCGAATGTGGTTGTAGCTGCCGCCAGCTAACTACGACAAAGCGCAATACAGCATTGCAGCAGGTGATGGTGGGGGCACGCCTCGAGTTCGTCGAAGAGAATGGAATGTGCAGCAACCAGGTAGAGGTCACAATGAAAAGCAAGCTCTCGAAACTTGACATGTCCATACGATAGTATCTCTTGAATGCTTTCTCTTTTAAAAGAGTGGTTTCGTGGGCTCTCCATGCCAGCCTATTCCAAACTACGGGGTCGCTTCTCTTGGCAGTTAGCATACGCTTATATGCAACGAGGCAAATGATAAGACTGCATAGATTATCATCGGCTTTCACACGGCAACGCTGGCGTGCAATAGAACGGCATCGTCGATCTTCTCTATTTGAAGAGTGTGTATTTTATTGTAGCTTAAAAGCATAATATGGTTAGGTGAAGTACTCGGGGTGGGGCAAAACAAAGTACGCATAGTGACGCATGCGTTTTAGGTAGGTGTCTATGACACACTCGCTTTTCCAATCAAATCGTTAAGAGTTCATTTAGCACTCATCCGAGGGTAGGGTTCATTGTTGTAGCACAAATACGAAGGTTCAACAAACTGGCCGCCGAGCGCAGCCAAGGCGGCATCGATTGGCCAAAAACGTAAATGTTGTGTACACATTGGATGCGGTCATCATATCATACTTAACTGCAACGTTAAAATCTCAATATGCCATTTTAGTCGTGAAAGTGGTAAGCGGGTGTTTTAAAATATTATTATAACAGTAAATTACTGGACGTATTTCTATTCTACAAAAATATTTATTTTAGATAATATGAAATTTGTGACTAATATAAGTACTTTTCAAAAGTATTACTTTTAATTACATAGTGATTTTCTTTTTAAAAAGTATCTAAAAAAACAACTATATCTTTCAAAAGAATAATACCGCTTAATAATACCAACATTTCGGGCTCATGTCAGTAACACAATTAGTAGTACAGCTTGTGCTTCTGGTATTAATAAGTTGAGATTCTTAGCTAGGCCTCTTCTTCCATCCTGCATTTTCAAAATTGCCGTCAACGGTAACTTTATGACTGTCTTTCAAAAGTCAAAACTCAAAAGATTTATAGCAATCGTTTAGAAGAAAAAAAAGAGCTATCTCTACTGCATGTACCCGAAGGAACGTGACTGTAGTTTCTTACTACAGTAGAATGCCAAAGACAATGGGACATCGCCCTTCCTCCTACATGTCCCTAGCTCTACCACAAAAGCAGTCTTTGTGCGAGAAGCACAAGTCAGATCCTGCATGCTCTCACTCCGAACTTGCTCGTTTAGCAACGGAGCGCTTTAAGACCCCCCAAGCAGTAAAGCGCACTACCGTCCAGAGTATTCTTAAGCGGTCGGCGGACGTTGCCGCCTTGCCGAATGCCTATCGCGACCGGAAGCGCTGTTGCGCGCCCGCGATTCGCGCGTCTGACGCCAAGATTATGCAGAAGATTGACGAGTTCAAGACTTGGCACGGAAACGCAACTATTCAGGGCTCTACGGTACTAATGATTGCTCAGCGTGAAGGAGTACAGCTACCCGGAGGCAATGCACCTAGTCGAAGGTGGCTGTACCGCTTCCAGCAGCGCACAAGGCTGTGGTTTTCGCAAGCTCCCGCCTAATACAACTGCCGTACTGCAGCCCATGGACCAGGGCATCATTAAGTGCCTGAAGAATGAGTACCAGAACAAGAAGCAAGCCGCGGAGCTGGACCTGTTCTACAAGGGTGTTCCTTACACGCCGGTCGACGTTTACTCCGCCATGAAGTGGTTGTCTGAAGGCTGAAACAACATATTTGCAAAGACTATTAGAAACTGTTGGTGCCACACAGGCATCTTCTCAAAACTAAACGTAAATGTTGTACTGAATTAAGAAACAAATATCAGTGCACTGGATTTGCGTTTGTTTTTTGCTTTACGTTGTGCACTTATGCCCTGGCACTGTTGATATGGTCTGCCCTGCCACATTGGAGGTGCACAACTGTAGTTTCTTACTACAGTAGAATGAAGCGGTCGGATGTCCTCCGCTACCGCTGGAATGCTTACTTGCTACAGTCTGACGGTATCCAATGCAAAAAGCAACACAGAAATGCTCGTTGAATGCTAACCGTAAAGCAACACAGAAATGCTTGTTGAATGCTAACCGTGACACTTAGTATTTGTAGCCTCTTTACCCTACCCTCGTACTTCAACACCCGTCCGCTCGTCCGCCGGTGTCGCTCATTCAGCAATTTGCCGTCCACTAGAGAAATGGCTCCAGTCCACTCTTCCGTGGAGGCTCGCGACGTGCCTGTGGTCGCGTTTGAAGACCTAGTAGCCAAGAAGGACCTGTCTACCGTCATCGAGGAGGCTTTCGGCTACGAAGGCATGGGGATTCTTGTTGTGAGCGGCGTCCCAGAGCTCAGCTCCAAGCGTAGTGACCTGCTTCCGCTTGCATTCAAGTTTGCCAACTTCTCGGATGACGTTAAGGCCAAATGCGAGCTCCCTGGCGCTTTCTACAGCTTCGGCTGGAGCCACGGCAAAGAGAATCTGCAGGGCAAGCCAGACTACGCCAAAGGGTCTTACTACAACAACCCAGAGACCAACGATCTAACTGGAGGAGACAAGCAACTCATTGCCAAGTTCCCGTCCTTCTACCATCCCAATATTTGGCCAAACGAGCTGCCAGAGCTGGAAAAGGCATTTATGAAACTGGGTCAATTGATTGTGGACACAGGAATGTTGGTAGCGCACCAATGTGATAATCTGGTGGAGAAAAAGTGTCCTGGATACGAGAAGGGCAAACTGCATCGCATCATTAGCACAGGCAAGTGCTCCAAGGCCAGGTACGTATCTGTAAAGTGGCTGCTTCTAAAGCACCGAGGCTGATATTGTTATGGACAGGTTGTTGCACTATTATTCGCTGTCGGAGGAGCAGATTGCCGCTCAGAAAGAGGCCACGACGCTCGAGGATTCCTTCGCGTGGTGTGGATGGCACAACGACCACGGAGCGCTAACGGGACTGGTGCAAGCTATGTTTACGGACTGTAATGGTGTTACGGTGCCAAACCCAGATCCGAGTGCGGGTTTGTACGTGAAGACCCGTCAGGGCGAGATCCTTAGGGCGGCTATTCCTCCAGGACACTTAGTGTACCAGATTGGTGAGACGTCACAGATTCTGTCGGGTGGCACGTTGCAAGCCACGCCACATGCTGTACGAGGACCTCAAGTCACGGGAGTGAACCGTGAGACGTTGGCTGTGTTCATGCAACCTTTGCCTCAAGAGCGGATGGCTGTGCCCGACTCCAAAGACCCCAACGAAGCTGGAAAGACCGAGAACTTGCCCAAGGGTGTACCTCCGCTCCTCTCTCGCTGGAACAACGACATGAGCTACGACGACTTCACCCAGGCCACCTTTAAGGCCTATTACTGACTTTGTTAGTTCCATTTACTGTTAACCCATGTACCCAAGTACTCGTGTTGAACTTGATCATAGCAGTGGATACTGCATCACGAGTGCTGTACGTGGCTCTAAGTGGCGATAGTAGTCTTCGACACGGGCTTTTTCAACGAACCCCAGTGCCTTGTAGAACGCCATCGCTTCGTCATTTCCGGCATGAACATGAAGGCGAAATCCGTCGATCTTGTCGCCCTCCTTCTCCGCTTTTTTTACCTGCTCGACCACTTTGAACACTATTTTCTTTCCGATCCCTTGGCGTCGGTATTGCGAGGACACAGCTAGCGTCCGAAGGTGCACCGTTCGTTGTCCATCTCGTTCTAATTCCAGGTCGGCAATTACAGCTCCGGTCACAATTTCCCCGTCCACTGCAGCCCACGAGAGACGGTGCTTATCCTTCTCTGCACGACGGTAGCAGAACGTAGGAGGCTGCACAGGTAGGACGCCCAGATTAAGCTTCTGCACCGCGCGTACAAGTGCCGCATCGTCCGTCAAGCAGCGCAGCTCCATTTATTTCTTTTCAGTTGATACCGGTAAGAGTATCGGTTTACCGACAAAAGCTGATGACGACTTTTTTCAGCTCTGGAGGCCGTGCAGCGCTGTGCTTCCCGAGTGATGGCTCCTGGTTCCAGGGATACTTTATCTGTGCGTCGAGCCGCGCGCAACTCGGTCTAATGGGCGAAGAAATCCCTGTAGACGATTGGTGCGGCTACAGTTGCTTTAGGGTTCTTTAACTGTAAAAACTACGCTTAAGCATCCTCTTCACTCTAATTTGGCAGTGTGGCTTGTCCCGATGGAGGATATCAGGAGTATCGACTCACAGTTCTACACTTTGCGTTGGATAAAGAGGTGCAACTGATTGTCAGAAAGACCGGAGGAGACTTGTGTCAATTGGATGGAGACACTGTTCGCTTTCAGTGCTCTCTTTTACTCGTAAGTTAGTTCTTTTTCTTACTGCTTCTGTCATTTTGAGCTGCTGACTTGTTGTAGACAGATGACAAGGCTGCTGAAGCGATTGAGAAATATTTTCCAAGCATCGCTGAGCGTGTGGATCACGATGTGGTGCGTAGATTCTTTCGACATCGTTTAGTATAACTTTCTCAGTCACGATGTCGTTACAGAGCTTGTTGCAAGAGTGCACGGTGTGTTTTGGAGACATGGACATCACAAATCTCGTCTTTCCTGCGTGAATATCACAACCAACATACTGTAGGTGTCGAATCCTTTTTACTTAGCTCGCAAAAAAACAAAATACTTCAATTTCTGGAGGTTGATACCCCACGTTGAGTAATTGAGTGTTCAACGAGCGGCGAGATTTATACAAGTCTAGAATCCAGCGAGCCAGTCAGCATCGCCCGTATAGACGCCACCGATGTTCATGTCTTCGTGACTTCCACTCGCTGCGATCTGCTTGAATTCTGATGCAGCCTCCGGCTCGAGTGGTGCCTACTCAGTAGATAACGGCACAGTCAAATGTCAGCTATATCAAAGCATGGAGTACATGAAGTAAAGCATCCAAGCGTACCGAGAACGAGCCCATCTTCATGGCTTCCCAAGAGGTGCCAGCGAAGAAAGCGTGTTTCTTGATCGGCTCGCAAGCGCCGGCGCGAATTTCCGAGTATCCGAGACGCTGTGCGGGGTCCGGACTTAACAGACTCGCGATGATATCCTTCAGCTCGGTGCTAGTGTTTTCAGGCCAGGGCAGTTGGTCTGGGCGGAACGACGCAATGTCGTTCAAGATCTCCAAGTCGTTCTCGTTCTCCCGGGTGAATGGTGTTGCACCGGTGAGCATTTCGTACATGAGCACACCAAGTGCCCAGTAATCGGCAGCGATGTTGTGGCCTATCAAAAACAGTCACGTTAGACCAGGACTTCGTCTACCATACAAATAGACTCTCTCACCTTCGCCAGTAATCTGCTCCGGGGCGAGGTATTCGGGGGTTCCACACACAGTGTAAGTCCGGCCACGACCGACGTACTTGGAAAGCCTACACGAAGCAGCCAACGAATTAGATGCTTTGAACGAGCTGAGACACAGGACAACGGGACGTACCGCAAGTTGATCATGCGGAGGTTTCCACTGCGGTCCACCATGAGGTTCGTGGGGTCAACCGTTCGAGAAACCACGCCCTCCTGTACATGCAAAAGACAGCAGCATGAGACATGGTACTAATCCTCATTGAGAACTCAGGACAGCTTACCGAGTGCATGAACTCGAGCGCCATCACAACTTGCGCGGCGTAGTATCGTACGAACGACTCGCCGTGCGGTTCGCCGTCCAAGAAGCTCTCCAGAGTGCCAACGATTTGCGTGTTATACAGCATGTGAATGTCTGAGCCATTCGAGTTCATTCCGAAGAGCTGCGGCACAATAGCGTTCTTCTCGTACAGAGATACGTAGATGTCACGCTCGCCACTGACGTGCTTCTGCATACCAGCGTCCACGATCGCCTGTTTGCTCACCGAGCGCAACGTCAAATAGACGGACGGGGACGAGCCCTTGACCTCAACCAAGCGAACAGTGTTGGTTAGATCGGACATGACGCTTCCGACAACCTCCAGATCGTTGATAGACTGGGGCATCTCGGACTTCGTTTCGTTGTCGAACTGGACGAAAGTGTTCGGCTGTCGAGCATAAAACCCAATTCTAATTTAGCGCAAAGACCACAGTGTAGTCCATACTATCCATACTTTACCTTTGCCTCCTTCTGTGCCTCCGAGATCTGTGTCTTGCGTGCACGACGCAGTTTGTCCTTCTCCAAAATTGAAGGCAGTTTGCCCACAGCCAGTTCCAATGCGTCCTTTCGAATGAACAGACACTCAGTGCGCTCAATAGCACGAATGGAACGTTGACTGCATACGAATACATCACAAATTGTTGTCAGCAAACAGTCATCACGCCCACCAATGCGCAGCTGTCATACCTGATCGAACGTCTTCGAACCAGCGCAATTTCACCAAAGTAGTCGAACGTCTTGAGCTCCAGAGGCACCACGTTGTCCATCTTCGAGGTCGATTCGATGCGGCCACTGGTGATCAGAAAGAAGCCCGGCTCCGTCATTCCCTCGTGCAAAACCACTTGGTTCGGTTCGAAGACCACAGCGCGCATCTCTTCTGCAACCAGGTTAGTCTGCGCCACAGTCAATGGACGCAGTAGGCTGATCTGGCGTAGACGTCGCACAACATCGCGCAGAGGTCGACCACGCATCAAGATCGAGCGGAAAGCAATCCGATCCAGCGCCCAGAGCGTTCCCTTCTCCTTTGTAACAACCGTGTTGACGCGAGGCTTCGGGTAAATAAGCGCCAGCTCACCGAACGTCGGATGAGAGTCGTTGGTTGCCTTGTACACCTGAACCACATCACCATACGCTTCCGGTGAGGAATCGTTCTCAGGCGAAGGCTCGGGAATTTCATCCTTCAGGTGACGAGCTTCAAATTCGCCCGTCTCCACCTATCATCGCACACAATCAGTCTTGCACGTACAGTTCTTCAAATGCAGTGCTGCGTACCAAGTAGAACGTGTCCCCAGGGACTCCTTGACGCATCACAATATCGCCGGCCTTAGACTCAAGTTTCTTCAGTACGGAAATCACCTCGTGAATCTGAAAAAAAAAAACAGAAAACATCTAATAAGCTTCCAGTCTGATAAATAGAAGCAGTCAAAAGGCATGCTAACCTTTTGGTCGCTCAGATGGTTGAACAGAAAGCTGCCCTGAACAGCCTTCTTGATCCACTGCTCCTCTTCCTCAGACTTGCCCTCAGCGTCAACCAAACCCGGGAGACCGGGCTCGCCGTCATCCATAAATGCTTCAGCCAGCGACAAACGGATCGCGTCCGTTCCTACGATCGTGTTCCTTCGCGCATGGTTCTTCGTAATGCCGCGCACCGGCCTCTGCATGGACTGCAGATCCAGCACTTCTCCACCAACGTAGATACTGCCACGAGGCCCGTCTCGCTCTTTAGCCGGGGTAACCCCGTCGAGGAAGATGCAGATCGCTGTGATGTCGTCAGTACGCACTTCAAACTGCAGCCAGCGGTTGTACGCCTCTTCAACGAGAGCATGACACGCCTCGGACGGGTTCTCGTACTGCTTGACAATGTCCACGACGTTCTGACTTGTGAGGAACTCGAAGACGCCGTCACTCGCGATGATGATGAACTTATCGTGCGGGTTCAAGCCCTTGCACAGGATCTCCGGCTCAGCTGTCACACCCAACTCCTCCGACACCAAATCTCCGATGCTGCGCGTGAATGCAGTGCCCTATAATAAAAAATGATAACGATGCAAAGTCAGGACAAACTAAATAATAAATCAGAAAGAGCATCCCCATATGCTTACGGGGTACTGTCCATAAGGATGCCAGATCCGAGGAGGGTCGCCGTTCTCGTCAATCTCGTCACCGAGCGAGAGCCCCCAGTTCTCGTGAATAGGCTCGAGGCCTTCGACTTGGTCCACGGTTAAGATGCGAGCTCCACACTTTTTCACTCTCACTCTCTCGTCCTGAAGCAAGAAATTACAATTTTAGCTGCTTTTAGAGAAAAAGAGAAGGGAGATAAATGAATATACCTTTCGGAAGGGCGTCTGGTCGATCGACAGCGGCTTGGCCACGAGGTTGGCCTCGCCTTCTCGTGTCGAAGCCTTCAAGTTCTCCTGGGCGACAATCGCTCGTGAATCTCCGACGTTCGAGACGTGGATCTCGTTGCCACAGAAGAGAACGGAGATGGATGTGGTGCCACTCATCGAGTCGTCGAAACTGGCCTCGTGCATGGCTCGATTGGTCTGCACATGGGCTCTTGTGAGGGCCGGTAGGATGCTCATATTCTCGTCCAGGTTCTTGATAATATTCTCGGGCAATTGGTCGGCTGCAAACTGCGAGCAAATGTCTCCATATTGACCGTGGCCGTCAAAGACCGCGAAAAAGGCCTTCTGGTCGTCTCCAGCGAAGTGCGTCTCGCAGTAGTAGCTGTCCTGGTTCGCTTTTTTTCGTGCTGCAGCAGATAAACGGTTAGAGTCTGTCTTGTTCTACCGTTTTTGAATTGTCGGCTCTACCTTCAGGATAATAACCGCGTTTCGAGTAGTACGAGTAACGAAGATTGTAGTCTCCGATCTTGACGTGGTGTGTGTTCTCCAGGTGCTTGTTACTGGGTCTGTGTACTGGTACAAAGTCGTCCTCGGGCTCCTCGGGCGCCTGGGACGGTGACGAAGGCGACGATGGAGAGGGCGAAGACGCCGGTTCCTCATCCTTGATACGCGGTTCCGTGTCCACCGTTTCGGCATATTTGTCCGGCGAAGGAAGAGCGGCAAAGGGCACGGCATGCACCTCATCCTTGTCAGCGCCTGAGCGTCTCGCCACGACGGCCGAGGCCTCGGAGGAGCAGCAATTCCCCATTTTTCAAGTGACGTTTCCCTTTCGTGCCGCTTTCCGCACTGGGTGGGACCTGTTGCCTTTTCGTCGCAGCGTGGAAGAGATGTTTGGGGCTGGCTTCCACTGACAAAAAAACAGTCGCCTAGTCGCGGTTTTTGGGGACGAAAACAAATGCTCAGATGATGAGTTTTTGGGTGCACACAGTACAGTTCTAGCTTAAAAAAGGGTCGATATTTATTACTTCTCTGGCCCAAGCAATAATTGGTTATTCCGTACAAAAATTCAATAGTTATTTTATTGATTTTATTTTTTTTAGCCTCTGCATACATGTATTACCTGTCACGGAAACAATACTATGCAGCAAGAGAGAAAATGCTTGCGCGTGTATCACACTCGTGGCCATGATGCTGTAAGTATTCCGGAAAATTTCGAAATCGCATCGATGATGTTTATTTGCTGGGACGGTGTCCAAGATTCTCAGCATGTTTGCATTCACTAAGGGCTACGTTTTGGGACCGAATATTTGTATCCGTTATATTATTCTGTCAGTACTAAAACGTAACTCATAAATTCAAACAGATCCAATTTAAAGAGCTTGCCATTTTTACGAGGATTGTCGCCGACAGTTTATCGGGGATCATAATTGAGAATGGTGAGGGAAATATTAGAACACGAAAACTACGAAAGAACCAGAGTTGCCATCACGCGGGCACTGCGGTTTCGTTCCCTTGTCTACTAGACAGTGTCTACTAGCTGGTGTTGGCAGACGAACGAGGACGGTTATCGTGGTTGCCATCATCAACTTGCTTGAATTAAACACCAGCAATGTTTTAATACATGTAGCAAATTACGAGAAGCGATCCTCCGAGATTGTAATGGTGACCTCACGATTCTCCCCAAAGATGGCACCCCGCTATGTTATCTGGCTCAGATTCTGAGCGTGAACTACAGCTACATACCGGAATCCACAATATAGGATAATACGTGCTGCAAATATCACACAACTAAAATTGAAAAACATTATTTTAAAGCAATAGTGAGTGTGCTTGAGACATGTACCGGTACGGTGCTGAGAAATTGAAAGTGTGTCACTACATGTTTAATTCATGTAGGTGAAATGGGCGCTTTTAAGCTTAAAAGCTACCGACCGGTACAGCCGAAGCGATACTTGTCGTCGACGAGCTATCGGTAGAATTTTTGTGCTCTCTGTGATAATAATATAAGCGAATCGGAAGCTGCAGGATTCATTTTCTACACAAGTGAGGAGACTCAACCCTCTGAAAAGTATTTGCACTTGTAAAGTGGTAAAACCAGCTTCGATTTCAAGGAAACGCAACTTGCGCTTTTTGTTTTGGGTAGATTAGGCTATTTCGCACATGCAAACGAGGCAGCTGAAAATTCGAACCAGGTTTGGTCACAAAAACAAAGCACATTTTCCTCCCAGCAAAACTAGTCCAATCTGAAATTTAGTCCCAAGAATAAAACAAAAGTTCAACTTCAGTTGACGAAAGATCGAATCCCGCAATGGCAGTGCGCGCGTGGAGCTGGACGCGCATCGACGGCCGCAACGTGCTGGCTGTCCCTACCCAGACGGAGATCCGTCTATACGACAGCGATGACTTCATCCTTCTCTCCCGTCTCGCACCGTCGGGCCACCGTTCGCCCGTGGCTTTCGTGCGTTGGAGTGCTTTTCACGGTCGTTTAGCCTCGCTATCGAGCTCCCTGATCCTCGTACATGCACCGCAACGGGACCCACAAGTGCGCGGTCGCGTGCAATTTGTAGCTATATGCTCTTTCCATTTAAGCGATGCGCACGTGAGCATCCGCGGGCTTGCGTTCTCTCGTAGTGCCGATGAGCTGCTCTACTGTGGAGTAGATGCGGGTCTAGGGAAGCTGGACGTGCGTGGCTCAGGCTCCAGCGTCGATCAAGCCCCAGTATTGTGGCAGGACGAAAGCGAGGCCACCGATGTGGCCAAATACTCACCCACCGCCTTCGTTTTTGCCACGTTGACGATGAAGCAGGTGAAAGTGTGGAGAATGAAGAGGAAATTGGGGGATTTTGATCAAAATCAGACGCTACATAAAGTTGAAAAATTGAGTCATCCAGATCCAGTGGTGTATTTCTCATGGAAACCTTCAACCACGCAGTGGCATTCCACGTTGGAGACAGATGGGACCAGGAAGGCTCAGTGGTTTGAACCGGCGAGAATTTTATTGACATGTACGGCTACGAAGTCGGTCAGGATATGGACGGAGACGCAGGATGCAGAGTTTATTCCTGTGCTGGTGTTTGAACCCACCTACCCAATTGACAACGTACGCTGGGTCATGTCCAAGAACAGGAATATAAGCGACGAGAACTTTCAGGTGGTGAACGACGTGAATGACACACATGCAGATTGGATCTCTGGGGTGGATCGGGATGGGATTTTGAGGCTGTGGAGAGTTGTGGGCATTGTGTCGTCCAAACCGACGGTGGAAGAGACGACACTGCAGATTAAAGTGAACGGAGAAGACGACAAGCAGACGATGGGTGTGAATCTGGGAGAGGCTTGCGTCATGGCCTATTTCTCGCAGAACTACTTCGGTATGCCGTCCAAACTGGGTGTTGTGCTTCAACGTGCCGATCATATTATGCTGTCGTTTCACGTCGCAGTTGGAGAGGGAGATCGACCGTCGCAGATTCTGAAAAAGTCGTGGTATAGAAGTCATCTTGGCTCGATCTCCGCGTTATCGGCGCATCCGTCGCTGCCGCTGATCGCTAGTGTTGACACGCATCTGTCTGGGTGTGACGGCACGTGGAGGAACGAAGTTCTCGTCTACTGGATCTCGTTTTCGGCGTTTTCTGCAGAGTCACGGTTAATTCCGTCGGGAGTTTTGCCCTGCGATAAAGGAAATGGCGATGTTTTGTGCGTTCAGTGGGTACCGACACTACACTTTGACGCTACTCCACTTCTCCTTGTTGTTTATAAGTCGGGAGTCATTGAAGTATATGGGAGATCGGCAATAGCTGACGTCGCAGTTGTGTCTTCTCCGAGAGTGCAGGAGCCTACACAGCGTCGAAAACTGGCTCGCTCTCCTAGTTTATCGCCGTGGACATTCTTCGACTACGTGACGGGGGAATCTGGCTTCGAATATGAGGTTACATGCGAAAAACCGGCAAACACGGAGCTGGGGGTTCAGTTTGAGGAGAGAAAAGGAAAGCTGATTGTGTCACGGAGCTTTGCTGGTAGTAAATGCCTCGGTGAAGTGGTCGAGGGCGATGAGCTTGTCGGAATCAACAACAAAAGCGTCGTGGGAAAGGAAATGAACGGAGTTTTTGCTTTGATCGACAAACTCCCGCCTCAGGAGCCTTTGCTATTGCGCTTCCGGGCAGCCTGTGTGCAGAATTATCACGGAACAATGGGGCAATCAATGTATGAACCCAGCTCTCAGTTGAAGACGTCAGATGCTTTCCAGCCAGCGTCTAGCAGTAGCAACGGAGGTGATGTGAATACAGAGAAACATTCCGTTGAGGAGTACGCATCGGACCTTCGACGGAGCTTTCTGGCGTCGCTGGAGAAACAAAACCCGCGAAGCCCTAGCAGTACGGACAACATGATTCATGCAGGCGCGGTATCAATGTATGGTGGCTGGAAACAATTGCTTTACATGAAAGCAGTATCCAGATTGTCATCCCTTTGCGTGTGTCCATCTTATGCTGACGATGGCGAATATGTACCTGATTCAGTATTGTTCTTTGGCATCGAAGTACTACCTGGGATGCTCCGTGTGTGGAAAGGAGTTCGCGATGGCGCGAAGAGCTCGTTTGAGCTTGTTCCCCTTCAAATTCAAGACCCAGCAATCGAAAAGAAAGCTAACATCACTGCGATTGCTGGTGAACGAGACTACCGCCAGCGAGCATTCACAAGCAAGCGAGCTCAAGGTCACAACAGTCTGAACTCACTGCTTTTTATTGGTGATACTGCTGGCAACGTCGAACACTGGCGCTGTCAGGTTGTTGGAGACATTATTCAGTTTACGATGATGAGTTCCAACCCCATAGGCGAAGAAGATTCTCCCCCATCGCCTAGTGACCATCACGTCCGTGAGCCAACTGGCTCGTTTTGTCGACGTGGATATGTTTCTGTTGATCAAGGTGAAAGCCCCGAAGACGCTGAGAGGACTGTTGCTGGCGGTATAAGCCACATCGAAGTGGATGATCCAAACCGCTTGGCAGTTCTACACGCTGATCAACCCGAGGAACTCTATGTGTTTGAAGCCGAGTCCGGGCTCGGAATTCTGCGTCCAGAAGAATCGATTCCATCAAACGGCAGAGGACACATTTTGGGTTTCACGTGGTGCAACTCGCATGTTGAGTTTAATGTCGACGCGCTTGCGGTGAGATACGAATCCGCCACCGTAATTTTTCAGTATGATACGAACTCGCACCGATGGGCACAAATTGGAGACGACATCGTGAGTCCACTACCTCTGTTCGATTGTACCCGAGACTCGTCCGCTTTGTTGATTGGTGGCGGACACCTAAGAGATTCACGACTCGACCAACCATCGTTTCAACCGATTTCTAACGAAATGCCTGTGGTGATTGGCAAGTGGGATGAGCCGGGAAGCTTGCTGCAACACGCGATGGATTGGAAAGCAGCCGAGTCGCCACAGAAACTACCGGTGTGGCATCCCTACGTATTGCTCACAACAATGTTCGGCATGCACGCGCGTGTCGGAGAGAAGGACACTGTGCTAGCCGGAGACCGGACGTCCTACGAGTTTTCCAGAGCTTTTAAAGATGCCACTCAAATGTTGAAGCTCCTGGCTAAAGTCCTCGAGCATGAGCCTTCAGCTCGTGCTAGCGCTTCTAGTGGAGTTCTCTCGTATACTGGCCCAGCGCGTTCTAAACGAACTGCTCTAAGTGAGAATGGACACGCTCGAATGCTGGAGTCTGTTGGCCGATACTCCACATCTATTCACCGAAGTGATCGAATTGATAGGGCAGAGAATCTGTTTGCTGCTCCGATGAGCAGAGACAATCAAAAGAGATACAGCTATGATGAAGATGAGAGCTTCACCGACGAGGACGATCAACGCACTCTTGGATTAGGCGAAGCAGCGACAATTTTGACAGCGGTTGAGTCGATGCTCGAGGGTAAGACACATGCATTACAAGACAACGCGTCTGAGTTGTTCACCTCATTTAGCGAAGATCATTTGTTGGAGATGAAGGCGCTTCTGAGTTTTGTGGACGCGATTCAGTCGCTCGGGTTTGACTTGGATGCTTCAGCTGCAGATCTGGGGGCCAAACGCTTCTTCTCGATGCATCTGTTTGCCAATTCTCTACGAAGTGTTGTGCTGGCGCACACAGGCAACAGCGCTGACAGTGTCAAAAGCAATCCGCAAACCGGAGAAAGCGAGGCCTTATCAGGCAAGTTGAAGTGGAGAAATTCTTACAGCGAGCGTGATGTCTGCTTTTGGTTACCAAGTTTGGAGGAAACCCCTTCCTCAGGGCTACTGTGGGCACTGCATTCAGATGCGCAGCAGTTCTTGTGGGAGCATTGCATTCAGCCCAGTATGCAATGGGACGACATTCGGCCTCTATGGCTTGGACTCTGGATCAAGGATGTTAAGGACTTGCGAGGAATAGTTGAAAGGTAGGCTTTGCACTATTAGCCGGCGTCCTATTCATGTCACTAATGACTGTGTTGAACGTTCCAGGTTTGCGAAGGTCTCCTATGCCCGAACTAAAGACGCGATGGATGTGTGTTTGCTCTACTTGGCATTGGGAAAGAAAAAAGTGCTTAGCGCATTGGCAAAACTCACTCAATCGGAGTCGAACAAGGTAAGAAATGTCTTAATGCTCCGATGATATTTTGTTTCTTATTGCTTAACGTGAGTTATTGTGTGTGCATGATTCCAGACACTAGCTTCGTTCCTGGATAACGATTTTTCTGAGAAACGCTGGAGCAATGCGGCAGTGAAGAATGCGTATTCTCTTCTGAGCAAAAAGAAGTACGAGCCCGCTGCGGCGTTTTTCCTTCTGTGTGAGCCTCCACGGATTCAAGATGCAGTTCGCGTTCTTTCGATGCGGCTCGGAGACCCAAGTTTGGCACTGGTAATCGCAAGACTTGTGGAGTACGAAACGGACAAGCTGCAACATGATTTCTCATCGAATCAGGCCGGGATCACGCCAGCGGGGGAGATCACCAAGCAATTACTCGAGCAAGAGATTGTACCTCTTTTCCGCCGAAAGCGTGAGGTATGGCTGGAGAGTTGTGCGCTCTGGTGGCTTGAAGAGTTCGAACAGGCGTGGGCTGTGCTACTTCCTCAATGCCAAGACGTGGGTGTTTGTGGAGGCAATGAAGCAACTCTTTCTACAAAGAGCGACTTGGTGTCAAGTGTGATGCGAGCTACACACTTCTACGTCAACCTCACGTCTCTCACGGTCTACTTCCAGCATCTTCACTCCAGTGTCAACTCTTCATTGCTCACCTGGGCGAAGAAGAAGATGCAGCAGAAAGCGTTTCCTGATCTCCCAGCATCACCAGTGCCAGCTTCTTCAGGCAAGAGGCGTCTACAACTCGCTTCAACAGCAGATATTGAGCATGCGTTTTCGTATGCAGCGTACGTGTGCAAACGTAGTGGATTGAGCGATACAGCACTCGTCGAGATGCTTCAAGCGCGACACTTGGTGAACGTCCATGCACGCTTTGAAATCTCAACCGTCGAAGCTGGAAGCGACCAGCTCCGCGAGTTACCGATGGATGAAGAGCAGGACTTTGTATCGGGGAGTCCTACTTCTCCTCGATTCCAGTCATCACTTAAAAACTGGCGGCGAGGAAGCACGCTGTCGTGTATTTCGTCACCGAAAGCGAGTAACTCTCTTCGACAGAGGAACTGGGGTGCCTCACAGAGACGCATGAGCTTCATGGGCGAGATCAACCACTCACAATTCGACCCAATGGCGAGCGGAAGGAAGCCACGACATCGCGCAAGCTCCTTTTCATGGTCAAAGGCGCTGCAATCGGAGAAGTCCGTCCCGACAGCGCCGTGGCTGAAAGCTCAGATCGCTGATATCGAGTGTAGACGGTGGGCGTCGTCCGCCTTTGTGGGTAAAATGATTGGAATTCGAGTAGCACGCGAGATGATCAGCCACTTCCGCGTTGAATTGGACATGTGGTTTCGCCATGGAGATAACGCCGACTCTCCTACACACGCTATGACGATCTCAACTTCTCCAGGACAACGGCACTTTCATCGAGTCAAACTTCACAGGGAATTTTTGGATGAGCTGTGCACGCCGCTATGCGAGCAGTTCCAGGTGGACCGCAATTACGTTTACGAAGCAGCTCTCGCTGTGATGCACCCACACGCATACCTTCATATCGTCGAAGTTTGCTTCCTGTTGTCAGAGCTTGGCAGAGGCTCGACGCTACGCAAGTGGGTCGAATATGTGTCTTTGTCGATGCTTCATTCGTGCTCTACATTTGCTTCCTGCAGCATTGCCGAGGACGTATATCGTGACTGGGAAGGCCTCACCATTCAGCTGTGTTATATCCTGAATCTCGATGCTCAAGGCCAGATAAATATCCCGGCTCAAGTGACTGCACATATCAGTGTTGCGGTTCGTACAGGCATCATTTTCTTGGGTTGGGCGCGACAACGGCCAGATATTGTTCGACAAGCTGTCACGTTGCCATTCTACACGTACGGGACGGTCAACGGAGCGCTCAATGGTGAGTCGGGTCCATCACTGAGCTCATTTGCGTTTGAGAAGAACCTGCGATTGCTGTGCAGATTGCTGCAAAGATCTTCTACGAGCATGAGTGAGATGCGCAAAACGCGGATAATTGAAGGGAATCTGGGTTACACTTTTTTAGGAGCTGTTGCCGCCGGTCAAGCGGATGAAGATAGTATTTCGCTACTGTCATGGGGTGGTGTTGACAACGCGGCAAGCCAGAACCAGTTTAAGATTCGCAAGATGTACACACTGATTCTCATGGTGTCCGTGCTCCGGACGCTGTATGCTCGAGCGACAGTTTTCCTGAGCACGTACCAAAACGATATTGACTCTAACGACGAGACAGGTATTGAGACGGACATAGCTAGCTCGCTGTTTACGCCGCAGAAACTGTGGAAAGCACTGGGTGAAGGCCCTTTGGAAGGACTAAAGCGGTGGTATGCGCTGATCGAGTCTCACTTGCGATGTGAGTTTGACTACTCGGTAAAGGAAGTTCCGTGTCTCTGTGGTCTGTACGGATTGGATACTGCAGCCTTTAAAGAAGCCGCTGCGAATGGCTGGAAGGAGCTGAAATGTCAAGCGGATCACAGTGACAACCCTATTCACAATGGCAATGGTAACACAGCTACTGACTCTGTCACGAGGAATAACGTCACCGCTGTAACCCCGATCGAAGCCAAAGATGCGGTGGAAGATGAGAGTTCTGGTAGCTTGCAGGCTTTTCTTCGTGGTATTGGAATGAGTTTGGAGCTGCACACAGCGCTGGTAAACGCAAGTGACGACTATGTGCTGCTCCTGATGCAAAATGCAGACATTGGAGTGCGAACAGCCTTACGACGTTTCCGCATCGATCCTCGGGTGTATGTGAAGAGCTTTGTGCTTCGAGATGCTTTCGGCTGGTTCGCTCGGCACGAGATCTTTAAAGGTGAGACGGAAGCCGACACTATCGCACAAATCCATGCGTTCGTGAGTCGTTGTTGTAAGCAGCGCAAACTACGATTGCTAGTGGCACACCGTGGTGAAGATGCACAGATGTTCCCGTTGGATCATTATCACGCGCGTCCACGCCAAGACACTGACGTTGATACTCACGCCACAGCCAATGAGCATTCTTTGCCACGATCGCGATTTACAAGTGCAGTTGGGAGTGATGTTCCCTTGTCGGGATCTAAGGACGCGGAAGCTTTGCCTGAGGCGTTCTACTTGCAATCTATGATGTTCGTGGATCCCTGGGAAGTCGAGGCGGAGTGGAATGTGCGTCGATACATGTACAATGCACAATCCCCACGACATGTAGAACTTGGGTGGGACCGCTTGAGCCCGATCTGCTCGGAGACGTGCGATGAAATTGTTGAGTCAGCATTCGAAGATCCTGATCTTGTGGCAATGTGGAAAACCACAGGCGGAGAAGGCTGGCTGGTGACAGCTATCACGCAGTACCGTTTAGATGGTCTCCATTCGTATCGCACTCTTCACCAGCACATTCAACGTGGCCTCGCTGGCAAAGATGAGCCGAGGATCCCGCTTCTTGTCGAGATTTATTCACGCAGCCAACGCAATGCAATGTTTGAGGTAGCAGGCTTACCTCATCGGTTTGTTGGTGCTATCACTGTGGAACTGGTCGAAGCAAAGGATTTGATTGCGTGCAGCTGGATAGGAAAGTGGAGTGACGCTTACGTGTTCCTGGAGCTGTGTCATGCAAAAGACAAACCTCGCGAAACAGCCGAAGAGTGGAGCTTGCAAACATATCGAAGTCCAGTCGGCAATGGCGGAGTAAATCCTCAATGGGACTCGAAAGAGAACAAGTTTCCGTTCCGCTTCGCTATCCCCACCCACGGCAAACACACTGCCCGCCCAACCCGAAATGTTCATTTCTCTAATGGTGTGGGCAACGACCGCAAAGTGGATGTACGAGCCAGTCACTTGGCGTCGCAACTATGGAATGCAGACGTCAATGACACGAATCGCGATGCAGTTGATGCTCTAGAGAAGCTGCTGCCTTCAGTGTTTTCTGGCCCGCCGGCGATGCTGCGATGCACTGTGTACCAGAAGAACAAAGTTTTGAGTCATCGGTTCATGGGCAGAGCAGAGGTGGGTATCATGAGGGCTCTTATGTGGAGAACCGTGTCTTAATTCACTCGTTTTGTGTCGTCCTATTAGGTTCCTCTGGATGAGCTCACGTCCGGTAATCCAATGGATTGCTGGCTGCCGCTTGAAGATACAGCGAGCGGATCGCTGCACGTGAAGATCTCTTTGTCTTTCCAGCTCATGTGTTCATCCATGGCAGGACATCCGGAGTTCAAGGAATTGCGATGAGAAGCAACATTCTCGAAGCAGGCTACTTCGAGAACTAGGTACTGCAGCATGGTAGCAGATGTACTGTACAACTCAGCGCTACTGTAGTCACGCAAGGCAAAAAAAACGTTATTAATATTGGTAATACAAGTGGCAAACTACATGTACACATTAATATTCATGCAGGTGTCATTGGGGGCTGATTAACGTCAGAGAAAAGATAAGTGATTGCCCATTCAGTTTCTCGCCCAGGTGCTATCCAACTAAATTGTTTTTTTACTCATTCTTTATTGCGAGATCGCGTAGACGGCCACAGCAATGAGAACGGGGAGGAGAATCACGAGTATCAAGCGGTACGACTGGACCTGGTTGTTAAGCTGCGCCACCGTCTGCTCCGAGATCTCGCGCAGCTTGGCGACTTGCGCGGCGTGCGCCTGTTTGGACTGCGAGCGCTCAGCCTCAATCGCCTCCTGTACCTTACCAAGTTCCGCACGGACGATGGCAAGATCCTGCTTGGTCTTAGCCACTTTCTTCTCCTTGGCCTCGAGACTAGAAGTGAGCTGCGAACGGGCCGCACTGGCCGAAGCCGCATCGACACGGGCCTTTTTGAGCTGCTTGCTAGCGCTCTCAGCATCGGCGATCTTGGCATTCATCAGCGTCTTAGCTGCTTGTGCCGAGTTCTTCCACTTCAACGAGTTGGCGCGTGCCTCCTTCAACTCTTCGTTCGCCTCCAGAAGCGACACACGGGCCTTCTTAAGCAGTTCTTCATTCGTAGCTGCCACACCACGCAGATCCTGGAGCTGACCTTCAGCATTCGTACGCTGCGACAACAAGTCGTCATACATAGACTTCATCTGCTTCGCTTCGGCCGTACGAGCCTCCAAGTCCACTAGGAGCTTCTTCAGCTGCGAGCCGTTCTCTGACGCTTGGCGTAGAGCCTTCTCGCTTTCGAGCTTCAACTGGATCACATTGTCCTTCATCTCAATCAGCTGAAGGCCAATCTCCTCCTTATCAGCGATCGCAGCCTTGGCAGCCTCTTGAGCCTTTTTCAGCTCCTCCGCCAGCTCGCTACTCTGACCTTCCGTCGAAGATTGAAGCTCCGAGATCTGTGCCGCTAACTTCTCAACTTCTTCCTTGTGAGTACGCTCGGTCTCCTCAGTCGCCGAGCGAAGCGCATCTCGCTCAGATGACAGCTCCTGGACGCTCTGCTTCGCCGATTCGAGCTCCTTCTCCAGGGCCTTAATGCGCTCGTCCGAGCTCGCAGCCTTAGCATCCGAGCCCTGGCTCGACGTACGCAGAGACTCCAGCTCAGCAGATACTTCCTCAGTGTTCTTCTTCTCAGCTTCCAACTCCTTCTCCAGCGCCTGGATACGCTCCTCAGAGCTCGACACTTCCGACTTAGATGTAGACACGTCGCTTGTCAGTTTCTGAACTTCAGCCTGCAGCTTCTCCAGCTCCGTCTTCGACGTCTCAAGCTCAGCTTTAGCAGACTCAATCTCGACAGTGAACGCTTCTGTCTTGTCCTCATACGACGAATGCTCTGCGATAGACTTCTCGGCCTCAGCGCGGATAGCCTTGGCATCAGCCTCAACGGACGCGTTCTTCTCGATGAGCTCTTTGTTCGACAGCTGAAGGTCCTCGATATTCTTCCACAACTTGCCGAGGTGAGTCTCTCTGGTCTCCTTCTCGTCTTTAATCTCTGACAGTTCAGCCTGAAGCTTTTCCAGTTCCTCGCGAGTCGACTTGGCGGCGTCATCAGCAGTCTGAAGCTTCGTCTCCAGCTCTTCGCGTGAGGTCTTAGCAGCATTTTCTCCAGCCTCGATCTTGGCCTCCAATTCGTCACGCGCAGCCTTGGTGGCGTCCACCGCAGCCTGCAGCTTACTCTCCAGCTCGCTCTTCTCCTCCGTAAGCCTAACAACCGCCTTCTCTAGCTTGGATTCTGCTTCTTGACTCTTCTGGTTGGCCAGCTCAACATTGTTACGAGCCTCGTCCAGCTCCGTCGTCAGCTTGGCAACAGCCTCGCTCTTCTCCTCCGTCAACGTTTCCACCGACTTCTGGAGCTTCTCAACCGTCTGCTTGGCTTCCTGCACCTTCACACGCTCCGCCTCGAGTTGCGTCGTCAGTTCGACCACCTTCTCCGTGCTGACCGTCTCTTTCGAGACCTCTAACTTCGTCTCCTCGTCTGCCTCCTGCTTGTTCTTTTTGTTTTTCTTCTTGTTCTTCTTCGAGCTCTTCGTCACGACAACCTCCGTCTCCACAGTCTCCACTGTCGTCTCCTTAGTGTCGTTCTCCTCCAAGTACTTCATGGCCTTCTTCGTGCGCTCGATCTGCGTCACTTCAGTCTCAAGCGTCGTCAACTTGTCGTCGGTCTCAGCCACGCGACTCTCGAGATCAGCAGCGCGTTCCTCCAATTCCTCCTCAACATCCACCGTCTCGGGTGTCTCTTCTCCTTCTTCTTCCTGGTTGTTCTCCTCTTGCTCCTCTTTCTGCGTCCAAACCTGCAGCTCCTTACGTAGACCCACGAGTTTCTTCACCTCCTTGGATATGTCATCCATCGCAACAGCCTCGTCCTTGTTGCGCATCTTCTCCTGCAGCACACGCACAGTGGCCGAGCACGACTCGATCTCCTCCTCCAGCGCCGCGCGGTCTTCGAACGTCGTCGTCATGTTGCTCCCGAGCTGCGCACAAGTGGAAAGATATCCAACTGACAGTGCGCGATTGTCACCAGTCTTTTCGATTACGGAAGAGGCTTCTCCACCAAATGATGTTTTGTACACAAACGTTCCAAGATCAGGGTACAGGAAGCCAGACAAAGAGTCGGATAGCGATGGCGGTTGGGCGCCTTCTTCTGGCGCTCGCTCTGCTGGGAGCGACGGTGGACGCGAAGGCCACGCGAGTACGAAAGAGCTGGGCGGCATATACCAACGATGAGAGAGGTACGCGGTCTGCACGGCTGTGATCTACTGCATGTAGCAACTGAGACTGTAGTCTCTTTGCTGTTCTGTAGAGCTGTATCTGAGCGCAGTGGAGAAGGCCATGACGTCAGGGAATCACATGCTGTTCACAGAAGTTTATATGGACTCGGACAGTCTGAAACAGGTTGTCGGGACGTGCGGCGCACCAGCGTGGTACCGCAAGTACCTGCTTGGCTACGAGAATATGTTGCGCTCGTTGGACACTAGTTTCAGTGACCTAACGCTGCCATATTGGGACATCTTCGAGGACTCGGCCAAACGCATCACAACAACAACGGAATGCAACGGTATTGAAGGGTGTTCACCGCTTCTGGAAGACCTAGGAGGCTGCAAGGGTCCTGAACTCATGGCCGGAGCGTACGTCGTGAACGGAGAGGCTGTTCCGAGCGGAAACTGCGCGAATTCCAGCGTGGCGGGACATGCCTGTGCAAATAGCAAGAAATGCGAGAAATGCATTCCGCGAGGAGACTGGGATATAGGTGATTCGTCGTTGGAATTTGGCCCCACAACGCTTGCAGATTTGATACGACATGCTAGCGACGCCAAGGGTACGGCCAGCAGCGGGACCTCCACGATGGATACACTACGCAAGGAAGTGCAAAACTCTATTCAGATGACGCTGCACAGTATTCTCGGTGGCGTGTACGAGACACGTGCTGCTGCTTTCGACCCAATCTTCTTCAGTCACTAGTACGTTCTCTTGAGTGTACATACTTCGAAATGGACGACTGAATGTGTGCTTTTTGGTGAAGTGCAACGCTGGATATGGTGTACCAGTTCTTTCAGAGCTGCAACCAGAGCATTGCCCTTACTGGGTCCTGTCAAGGTCACGGCAAAGTGAAGATTTCCCCGACTGCAACGATTCCCATGAAAATCAAGAGCACAACGGTCGAAAAGCACGCTGATCTCGGTGCGTTCTTCAAGAACGTTGGCACCACTTTTAAGAGCATGGACTCCTTCGCAGTCCAGTACGAGATCGGCCCGTTCCTCCACAATATACTCAAGAAATCTTTGCTACAGTGCAACACGAAAATCAGCGCCACAGGAGCAATCTCATACGCTACAGCTAAAAGCACGTTTGAGGATGCTGTTGGCATCAATACCTTGGTGAACGACTTGGTCACGTGCGATCAGACTTCAACGATGAAGGGAAAGACGACAGAGCCGGCTTCTGCCTTTATATCGTGCCAGCTGCTCTCGTCACTGCAGAATGGCGTGTTCACAAACTTCAGCACGCCTGTGCGCGAGTTCTTTGGTGCCACACAGGACGACCTTCCCAAGTGTGTGGGTGATATGGCAGCAATTGCCACCGTCGAGGTCGCAGTCACGCCGTCCACGACGTGTCAGAAGGCGATTTACAAGGACACTAGCATCAGCACCAAGAATGACTTTAACACGGTCAAAGACGGCTTTGCAATCGTCACTAGAGGTGCGCAAGATGGAAGTGTCCGGTACATGAACCCGCCAGCTAAGGCTTAGATAAGTGTCTGTCACCGTAGATCAAAGGCCTGTGATTGAGTACTGTACAAACTTCATAGATGTCGAGGCAATCCGAGTGGAAATTGCTGCTTGGATGCACAACAGATCACAACTCAACAAAGATAATCTTCCAAGCATATTTTTTTTGTGAAGCACGAGGTCGCTGATCGCGCCAATACAGTGTACTGAGCCAGTCTGGTACAGTACAAGTCTATTCACGGTTGTGTCGAGCGCAGGGGAGTTCCAGTTTTTCAGCGAGTTGCGAACTTCAAGAGAGTCCGTGAAATGGCTACACTGCAGAAACGACGTGGGAAGATCGTTCCATAGTTTATCCCAATGTAACGTCGTTGAGTCGCTCGTCGAAATGGAAGTTCTTTTTTCGAGGCTGATGACATCAGTGATGTCGGAACGAGCACCCCGACAAGCCCGCACTGAACTAGAATTCAGTTTCAATATCTACGAGTATAACATGAAGACCTCCATACATAATAGCGATCGAGGATTTTTATTCCTTGGTGAAATACCGGTTCGACTCGAAGTTCGAGGGGAGGTTGACGAAAAACCGCATAGTACCGTGTTTATGGTACAATGTCCTTTCTTCCCACCTGTCGTCAGCGGTGCTATTGGCTCTCATGATTTCTACCAATCCTGAAGAGTCTTGAACTGCTATCCCGTCCACCGCGGCCTACACGCGGCACAGTGCAAGATGTCGGAGGAGACCGCGGCCGCTTTAGCGACCAGCGGCGGCACTACGCTGTCCGGTGCGTTCTCCCATCTGCGTCGTCGCTCGTTCCTCTTTCTGTTGATGCGCAGAAAGCCCGAAATCCCTTCGTTTAGCTCACAGTCCGGCCCTCAAATTGTCGTGTGATTGTGTTTCATCAGGCCCAGACGCGCAGCGCCTCGATACGGACAAGCGCGAGCTCATCGAGAAGCTCAAGAAGGCGGTGGCGGCTGGTAAAGCCATGAAGAAGCAGCTAGACCAGCACCAGGAGGACAAGACCAAGCTGACGCGGCAGCTCGAGGACAAAGACGGAGAACTGATGCTCGCCATGTCCAAGGTAGAGGCCTTCCAGGTAGAGCTGCAAGCCCAGCAGAAGGACAATGACGAGATTCAGAGAACAGCAGCGCAGGAACAGGCTAGAGTGATGGTCTTTATAGAGGAGAAGAACCGACTAACAGACCAAGTGGCGGCCATGCTGGAGGACAAGCAACAACGCGAGCGGGAGACGCAGCAACTCGTAGACGAGAACCACACACTACAAAGCAAAGTCAAGGACCTCACAGAGCAGGTTCAAGGCGCCAGAGAGCAGCGAGAAGACGTCGAGCAGATGTACATGGAGGTGGCGTCCAAGTTAAATCAGGCGTTGAGGGACAACGACGAGCTCAAGAAACCTAATTCGTCCGGAGACCGCTTACGCGAGCTAGAGACACAACTTGAGGCGTATGAGCAGGATAAGCTGCAGTTTACACAGCAGGTCGAGGCCCTCACAGCAGCGAATGACAAGGCTACAGCAGAGCTCGCTGAAGTCGCAGATATCCGCGACAAGCTGCTGGTTCACGTTGGTATCGACTTGACGTACGAGAGCATCGAGTCGCTTCTTGATACGAAGAACATGGAGATTCAGATGCTCACAGAGCAGCTCTCGGCGGCTGAGGCCCCCAAAGAGCAGGCTGTTCGTGAGGCTGTCGGTGCGGCGGTTGCGGAAGCAGAAAGTCTTCAGGTGAAATTAGAAGCGCTGCAGACGGAGTATAATTCGTTGAGTAGCGACAGGACTGAGCAAGATAAGACTGTGGCGGAGCTTCGAGCTGAGCTGGAACGAGTCGCTGCAGAGCACGCAGCGTCGATGGAAGAGCAGCGACGAGTTTGTGAGGAGACACAAGTGGAGAATGAGCAGTTAACTGCACGATTGTGTGACGTTGAGACGCAGAAACAGCAGTTATCCGACGATTTCTCCGCGATCAAGGCCAAGCTCGAGGGATTAATTATTGCGCTACCGTTAGACAAGCTGACATCCACAGAATCTGATACGGAGAGCTCGCAAGTGGAGGAACTGGAGGCGTGTCTGGAGCATATTGAGAAGCAGCTTGTTGGCGCTGCGAAACCAGCTAAGAATGACCTTGAAAGCGAGGTAAAGACGCTCCAGGAACGGATCCACAAGTACGAGACGGAGAACCAGCTTCTGACTGCAAAACTCGAAGAGTGCGAAGCTGCGTTGAAGGCTCGTGCCAGCGAGATCGAGAAGCTTGTAACGAAGGCGAGAAGTGTCAGTTCTGACTCCAACAAGTGCGTGTCCTCGGGCGAAAACGCTGGATGTAACGGTGATGCACCTGAGAGATACAATGGAGACGCTAACGACCTCGAACTGGAAGCTACGAGGGCCGAACTGCACGCTGTCGAGACAGAGATGGCAGCCTGTAAAGCTGAAAACCTGCGCATGATCTTCGAAGTGGCTAAAACGGCTGATGGCGTCTCGAAACTCAAGCAGGACCACGAAGAATTGCTGCAGACTCACTCCAAGACAGCGTCTGAATTAAGAACGACGCTAGTGCAGCTGGAATCTCTGGAATCTGCCAAGAAGACTCTAGAATCGGACTTACACAGAACATCCGAGTCTATGCGGTGCAATGTCGAGACTTTCGCGATGCAGAAGGAGGACTTTGAGGCCGCTATTGCCAGCTTGAACGGTGCTGTACACACGTCTGAACAGGAGAACAGCAAGATTAAACGCGACTTGGAGGATATCAAGACCGAGAACGACGTGTTGGAGGAGCGGATCAGCGAGCTGCACGCTGTTGCCGACAGCAAAACCGAGCCAGACGAGTCGCAAGAAAAAGACCGCGAGGTTGAGGAACTTCGCTCCTCTCTCGTCCAGGCTAAGGTGAACTTTCTGGAGCAGAAGCAGCAGCTCACAGCTCTGGAGAAGAAGCTGGTGGAGGTGTCCAAGTCCAGTGGCCCTGCTTGCGCTGTGAACAACGCAGCATTGGATGCCGAGCGACGAGAGTTCGAGGCTGCGCTGATTGAGATGATCGAGATGGAAAAGAAGCTTCAAGTGGCTTACGAAGCCAAGCAAGGCCTCGAGTCTACCCTGCAGGAGCGGATGGAGGCGAAGGCGGATCTTGAAGGTCGCTTGTCTATTGCTGAGGACAAGATCGCAGAGCTGGAGCAACAGTTGGAGCAGAAGGTTGCTCTCATTGCCACGATCGAAGAGCAGCTTCGATTAGTTGAAGAAGAGCGCGAAAAACTGGCAGACGAGTTCGCCAAGACAAAGTCCAAGCTGGAACGCAGCAGAGGCAAGCTGGAGGAGAAGGCGATCGAGTTTGAGGCGTTTAAAACGACGACCAACATGCTCAAGGACGAGCGTAGTCGATTGTTTAACGAGATTGCGCTGCTAAAGGACAAGATCACCAAGTCTGAAGCTCAGAAGGCCGAGATGGCTGACTCCCAGGAGCTTGCGAATGAAGAATTGGAGGAACAGCTGAACGAGCTGGCGGATAAGATCGCAGAGATCGAGGCAGAGAAGCAGGATCTGCGTGCGAGGCTCGAGGAGACGGTGTATCGCTCCGAAGAAGACATCCATCAGCTGAGAGAGCGTCTTTATATGCTGGAGGAAGAGAAGTCGGGGCTGGACGACGAAAACTTCAAGCTGGAGAAGACTATGGAGCATCTGGAATCCAAACTGGACAGCCTGGAAGAGCAGAAGACGGAGCTGGAAGCAGCGAACGCGTCCAGTTCTCAGCAGCTGAGTCTGTTGGAAGAGAAAGTGGACAAGGCGGCTAGTGAAATTGCTACTCTATCGGCCGAGAAGAACAGTTTAACGGAATTGCAGCAGTCACTCGAAGAGAACGTGTCGCGTCTTGAAGAGGACAAGGTCCAACTGGAGCAAACGCTGGAGGAAACGACGTCAAAACTGCGAGACGAACTGGAGCAGGTCACGTATCAAGTGAAGGCGTTGCAGACTCAGCTTAAGGCGTCTGTTATCAGGAAGGATGAGCTCACAGCGTCATTATCAGAGCTACGAGAGCGTGCTGAAGCGGACAAGGTTGCTAGCGAGGAAGTGACTGCCAAACTGGAGTCTCAAGTCGCAGAAAACCAGACCCTGGAGAACAAGATTTCAGTTCTAAAGCAGATGGCAGAGAGGGCGTTACAGTCACTGCAAGCTGGTCGCGACGAGCTCTCTGAAGCTGAGTCTCGTGCTGCGGTGTTGGTGGAGGAACGAGATGCTGTGAAACTTTTACTGCAGCAGGAGCAGACTGCGTACGACGAGTTGACTGCTCAACGTGAGGAATTACAAAAACAAGTCGAAGAGCTTAACGCTGAACTCCAGAGCACACAGGAGATGCATGCAGAGGAAGCTGGCGCAACTGACGAGACGATTCGTGCTCTAAAGGATCTGGAGACGACGTTAACGGCGTCAGTGGAGTCTCTTAAGCAGGATCTGGCCGAAGCCGAGTCTTGCGTTATGGTGTTGGTGGAAGAACGAGACGCGGCACGGAAGGATCTTACTGCGAAGGATCTGAAAATTGAGGTGATGACTTCCCAGCAAGGAGAGCTAGAACTTGCCGCTCAGAAGCTGGAAAGCGAGTTGAACACGCTGCGGAGTAAAAGCTTAGCTGACGCAGAAGCCACCGAGGAGATGCTTAGTGACCTTCAGGAGTCCAAGATTCAAGCGGAGGAAGCGGTTAAGGACCTGCAGGAATCGTATTCTCAAGCAGAAGCTTCTCTACAGACGATCCAGGAGCAGCTAGCGGAGTCGGAGTTGCGTGTTGCAGCCTTGGAGAAGGAACGTGACGCCACCCGAACGTCTTTGAACGAACAGGAGTCGACTCACGAGACGCTGAGTGCGCTTCAAGAGGACTTGCAGAAAAAGGTTGCTGCTTTGGAGACGGAGTTGAAGGAGCTGCACGAGACCAGTTCGGCTGAGCTGACTGCTTCACACGAGACCATCGCTAGCTTGAAAGCTGCTGAGGCGGAGGAAGCAGAAACGTTGGCATCTCTTCGTCAGGAACTCGCACAGGCGGAAGGCTGTGTGATGGTGCTTGTCGACGAGCGTGATGCGGCGAAGAAGACGCTGAGCAAGAGAGATCTGACGCTGGAGGTTCTGTGCTCGGAGCATGGCGAGCTGCAGCTCAAGAGCCAATCGGTGAATACTGAGCTGGAGGCGCTACGCAATAAAAGTGCAGCGGATGCTCAAGCTGCAGAGGAGACTGTGCAGGCGTTGAAGCAGGAAGTTACGCGTGTTTCGGAGGCGTTAGAAGCCACTCAAAAGGAGTTATCGAACTCCGAGTCACGATTGATTTCTCTGACTGCTGAATGCGACACGCTGACGAAAGCGTTGAGTGAATTAGAGACTGAACACGAGGCTATGAGCACCCAAAAAGAGGGGCTGGAAGAGCGGATCGAGAGTTTGGAGGCTCAGAAGAACAAGTTGATTACTCAACACTCGAGTGAGTTAGAGTCCGCAGAAGAGACCATTCGTGCGCTGAAGACGTCGGAAGCTGAGGTGAAGGAATGCTTGGCATCAGTTAGGCAAAAATTGGCAGAGACGGAGACTAGTGTGGAGGCTCTTATAACAGAATTGAGCGACAACGGAGTTGAGATCGGTAAGCTTACCTCCGAAGCAAATCGGTTGCAGGAGCGTATCCAGGCGTTGGAAGGCGAGCTACAGACGCTGCAGAGTCAGCGTGAAGCCGAGTCTGAGTCAGCAAAGGAGACGATTCGCAGTCTGAAGGCGTCGGAGGACGAGACGATGGAGACGCTGGAGTCGATTCGGGTGAAGCTGGCGGATACGGAGGCTCGTGTGGTGTCTTCTGAGGCGGAGCGTGAGGCTCTGAGCAAGACCCTGAGCGAGATGGAGTCGCACCGTGATGTCCAGAGCACGGAGGTTGAGAGTCTGCAGGAGCGTATCCAGGCGTTGGAAGGCGAGCTACAGACGCTGCAGAGTCAGCGTGAAGCCGAGTCTGAGTCAGCAGAGGAGACGATTCGCAGTCTGAAGGCGTCGAAGGCCGAGACGATGGAGACGCTGGAGTCGATTCGGGCGAAGCTGGCGGATACGGAGGCTCGTGTGGTGTCTTCTGAGGCGGAGCGTGAGGCTCTGAGCAAGACCCTGAGCGAGATGGAGTCGCACCGTGATGTCCAGAGCACGGAGGTTGAGAGTCTGCAGGAGCGTATCCAGGCGTTGGAAGGCGAGCTACAGACGCTGCAGAGTCAGCGTGAAGCCGAGTCTGAGTCAGCAGAGGAGACGATTCGCAGTCTGAAGGCGTCGGAGGCCGAGACGATGGAGACGCTGGAGTCGATTCGGGCGAAGCTGGCGGATACGGAGGCTCGTGTGGTGTCTTCTGAGGCGGAGCGTGAGGCTCTGAGCAAGACCCTGAGCGAGATGGAGTCGCACCGTGATGTCCAGAGCTCGGAGGTTGAGAGTCTACAGGAGCGTATCCAGGCGTTGGAAGGCGAGCTACAGACGCTGCAGAGTCAGCGTGAAGCCGAGTCTGAGATCAGCGAGGAGGAGAGCGATTGCGCAGATTTCGAGAGGGCTTGCGGAGGCGCGGAGAGCGATGGAGAGCGTGGCCACTGCGATTTGCGGGCGAGAGCTGGCGGATTACGGAGGCTCGTGTGTGTTTTTTTTTAAAACCCAAAAAGCTTTAATTCTCTGAGCAAAGACCCTGAGCGAGATGGAGTCGCACCGTGATGTCCAGAGCACGGAGGTTGAGACTCTCCAGGAGCGTATCCAGGCGTTGGAAGGCGAGCTACAGACGCTGCAGAGTCAGCGTGAAGCCGAGTCTGAGTCAGCAGAGGAGACGATTCGCAGTCTGAAGGCGTCGAAGGCCGAGACGATGGAGACGCTGGAGTCGATTCGGGCGAAGCTGGCGGATACGGAGGCTCGTGTGGTGTCTTCTGAGGCGGAGCGTGAGGCTCTGAGCAAGACCCTGAGCGAGATGGAGTCGCACCGTGATGTCCAGAGCTCGGAGGTTGAGAGTCTGCAGGAGCGTATCCAGGCGTTGGAAGGCGAGCTACAGACGCTGCAGAGTCAGCGTGAAGCCGAGTCTGAGTCAGCAGAGGAGACGATTCGCAGTCTGAAGGCGTCGAAGGCCGAGACGATGGAGACGCTGGAGTCGATTCGGGCGAAGCTGGCGGATACGGAGGCTCGTGTGGTGTCTACCGAAGAAAAACTGGAAACCTCAAAACTAACGTTCGAACAGAAACAACTTCTAGTTGCCGAGCTGACGAAGGAAAAGGCTACTCTTGTTGAGAAAACGAGCGTCTATGAGTCTACTGTGACTGACCTGGAGTCAAAACTTCAAGCTGAAGCACAGCAGCTCTCCGACGCAGCACAGCAAATCGAAATACTCCAGAATCAAGTCTGCATGCTCGAGTCTCAGCTTCGTGATCAAGTGAAAGCAGTCAAAGAGAACTCGGCTCAAGAGCTCGAGACTCTCAAGCAGCAGGTAGCGTCACTGTCCGAGTCTTCCAGCTTCGCATTAGCGGAAGCATCAACGCTTCGTGAACAGCAAGTAGCTACAGAAGAACGCTATGCTGCTAGCATTTCTCAGAAAGACGAGGTGATTTCAACGCTGAAATCGAAGCTCGAGGAGGTGATGGGGATGTACAAGCGCCTAAAGGCACATGTACAGGAGCTGCAGGGCCGATTGACGCAACAGATCTCAACTAACGACAACCTCAGGTCGTCGTTCGAGGAGTTGACTGCTCAGCATTCTGCCTCCATGCAAGAGCTAGAGGCAGTGAGACGCGAGCTTGCTTCATCCCGTGAAGAATCAAGTGCAATGGCGGAAGAATTACGTAAGGCTGGAGAGAAATGCGCGGACGCTGAAGCTCAACGTGAGAGTCAAATGGAGACGTTCAAGCAGCGGATCTTGGCCTACGATGACGACTTTACTCAAAAACAGACGCAACTCGAAGAGAAGGAGACGCTACTAGTGGATGCTACAGCACGTAGCGAGGCTGCACGATTGCAGGTGACTGAGCTGGAGAAGGAGCTTACAACGTTGACTGACACAGTCGAGAAGACGGAGCTGGAGCTGCAGAGTGCCAGGAATCGAGTTCGACATCTTGAGCAGGCCGGAAGCGACCGTGAGGAGGCTGGAAAGAAGCACGATGCCGACCGAATGGAGCTCCAAGTGCAGCTGGATACGGCGAAGAAGACTATCGAGAAGCTTCGTGCGGCATCAGACGCCAACGTCGGTCTACAACGGGAAAGTATCTCGCAACTGGAGAACCAGGTGGCCAAGCTGAAGCTGCAAGTGGAAACCGAGACGGAAGGCGCCACTGCTGCTCGATCTGCCCTGGAAACATACAAGAAGCGAGCTCATACAGCTCTCAAGAAGACGTCGAGTGAGAATAAGCTAAATTTGAAGAAAGCAGCGCAAAATACGACCAAGTTGGAGCAAGAATTAGTCGCCGCGAAGAGTCGAATAAGCGCGCTGGAAACGGAGCTGGAGGAAACTCGACAACGTATGGAGGAGGTTGAGAAGTCTGGAGATGCGCGTGCACTGAGCGCTCGTGAGGCGTTAGAGGCGGAAAAGCGTTCGCTGGAGACAACGTTGCTGCTAGAACTTGATAGTGTGAAGGCTGAAGTGACGAGACTGGAGCAGGCCTTGGAGCGCGACCGGATACCTCTTGAAGCTCGGATCAAGCAGCTGACAGAGAGCAATGAAGCCTTGAGCAGCGAGATTCTCTCTCTCAAGGAGACAATCCACGCACAGTCCGAGACTTTGGAGCAGACTGTGCAAGCGAAGGAAGAAGAGATCAGCGACTTGTCGAGGCAGCTCCAGGCTGCCCTTGCTGCTGCCGCTTCTCTCGCTACTAATGAGGCTGGACGGCGCTCGTACTCTCCTGCTATCTCGCCGACGGAGAAGGAGCGGCGCTCGACGGCGTCTTCTTCGCGCTCGTTCGATTCGGACCGAAGCAGCTTCCTGCACCAATCCACAATCGACGAGCACATGGCTGCGGCAGTCGCAGACTCGTGTCCGATCCCTCTTGCGTCCAAGACGAATGGGGTGGACTCCAAGTCGGCGGATGATGAAGTTGTGCGACTGAAACTTCAGCTGAATGAACAGGAAACCAAGGCCCATCTCTATCTGAAAAAGGTATTTGCTACACTGTGGCATCTTGTGGATGATTTGACTAAATGCGCTGTTGTTATTTTGCAGTACGAAGACATGTCAGCTCACTTGGAAGAAGTCAACAGACAGAAGCGACTCCAAGAACGTGACGAACATTCTACCCAGGCGATCAACATTGAGGTATGGCTTACCATACCAGCGCAAATTGTATCAGTAGCTCACTGTGGATGTCTCTCGTGTGTACAGTACTTGAAGAACGTCATCATGAAGTACATTGAGAGTCAAGTGCAGAGTGAGAAGGAGCAACTAGTGCCTGTCATCTCCACGCTGCTGAGCTTGAGTCCCCACGAGCACCAGAAGGTGCTGGCTGCGCACAGACCGAACGATGAGGGTGCTGGACTGTTCGGCGGTGTGTTCTCGCTCTTCGGTGGCGCCGCCGCTGCACCGCCCCCGAAGCCGATAGCAGCGCCGCACAACTTCAAGCCGTCTCCTACTGTGAGCGGCAACTCGACTGGTGCAGCCCTCGGCAGCAAGGACAAGAATGGTGTACTGTCGTTTGGAAGCGATCCCAGCGACGACGAGGAGTTTGCAACGCCACTCAACCCGTTCGCTGCCTAGCCATTTATCTACACGTGAGTGACGTCCAAAACAACAAACCGCTGGCTGAGCTGGCAATTTAGATGCATAAGTGAAGAGGGATTATTATAATGCGTTAGATTCTTTGAACGATACGACGTTTTGTTTCATGATCAATCAAACAGGCTTACAGTTTGCAGAGCGTTTGATTGCAATGCCATTTTCATTTCATGCGGTTCGTGTCAAAGCAACGCATTACGTAGACGTTTCCATGCCAGCTTCAAAGAAGACTGAAGATCAGGTCACTGCTTCAGCCTAAAGCAGGAACAGACAGGGTTTTCTTTTGTCTTTAGATTCCGCTGGTGGCCCAACAGTTAGTCGACGCCCCTACCAGTGGTGGGGGCGTCAATCCACTGCACTGCATCCCATCGGCGCTGGCATCCCAGCAGCAGCTCCGCGTTCTGGTGCAGTGAATGCACGACCACAGGCCGTAAAAAAAAAACGCGCATGGACCATCGAAAATTTCGTCGAAATTTTCGATTCGAAATTTATGGCGGCACACGTTTGTGCGCTTGATTGCGTAATGCCGGTAGTCTTAACCTACACGTCCACGTGGACATTTAAAAAAAACTTAAAACTGGCTTGGTTCTGCGTTTGTGGCTCATGGGTGTTTTCCTAACGTTGATAATCCGCTATCGCAAGAGCCCGCAGCGATTGAAAGCTCTCGAGCCAGTGCTGCCCGTATTATTAATGATACATGTAGTGAGTCACCCCAGGTGAAAATTGGACCCTTTGCTTTCAGTCACCAAACTTTGGTCCTAAGTCTGGGACAAAGAGGAGGGCGGGGTTGCAGCGTGTGGGGCTCGCGCGTCGAGTTAGTCACTTGTGACTTGATCCGAGACGGAAGTAAGACTCCCGAAGCGAAGGTAACGACCGGACCGAGATGGGCGTTGAAACCGCTCAACCGAGTGCTGAAATCTCATTCACATGGATGGAGCTCAGTCTTGCCGTTATTGTAAATTATCACACGTGTGAATTCGTTGAAACTACATGTAGCAGCTTACCAGCGGTAAAATACAGGTAGCCAGGAAGAGTCATGGTGAGTGTGCTGCATTGGAGCCCCAGGAGCAGGAGTTGCGGTCATGGTGAGTGTGCTGTATTGGAGCCCCAGGAGCAGGAGTTACCGGTAGGCAGCCTTCTAGGGCACAGCAATACCGTAGAGCCTCTAGAATGGAGTTCTTTGCTGCCAGGTTTGCTGGGCGGATACTTTTCGGTCGTCAAACGCGTTAATGGTACGTCCGGTCGCTGTTCCTCGCACTTTTCTCCTTGAAGCTGCCTGTGCAACGTGTTTAGCCAATCACGCCGGTCAAAAAATAAAATATGAAACACAACGGCAAGCGGCGGGATCCGTTGAAACGTGTAAAATAAGCGCCATCGCATGCAGACGCAGCCGCAAAATAGCTCCCTGAGCTGCGATCGAGCTCGGCGGCGACAGTCAAGTGCGACTTTCAGGTTAGAGCACCGCCCGGTGATTTTCTGCTTGGGAGATGCCCCCGCTCAACGGCTGTTGGGCAGACGGGGCGCACAGATGCTGCATTTTCTATTTCACAACGGCTTTTTGAAGTGGCCACGGCTTGCTTGCTCAGCTCCTCGCGATCCTGTACCATGTGCGCATCTGTTCACACTCAGAGGCCCGGTAAAAGCACCTAGCAAAAATAAAATGAACGCTGTTACGGACGAATATTTATTTTTACAGTATGTATCTGTATTAGCTGCTAGCCCAGCCGATTTGATAACTTCAGGACGCCAAGGACATCGCGCGACACGCAACAAGCTCGTCGATCCTTTCTGGTGTTGAGCAGCTTTCTCGCTCATTGACGACGGCCGTCAATGCAGCAGATATCATGGATAAAAAGGGGACATTTTACACAGGCGCCGGGGAGAGTGCACACCAACAACGTTCTACAGTTCACCAAAATAGCACCCGCGTACAAGTTCAACATGGCTCATTTTGGTTTCATGTCCTTTTTGCGCCAATCCGCGCCGCACAGCGCCGCATTTTAAGCAAATCCACGGCATTTCCTCGTCCAAAACGATCAGAGCTTCGAGAATTTGATCAGCACTCCTACATCGGTTTACGCAGGGAGGATGGGATTCCTTTTTCTGACCGGCGTCTCTTTCCACGTTCACTTCATTCGCAAATTTGCCCCTAAGCGCGCACTGCTCCGAGCCAAAGACCCCCAGCCCCAAGAGACCAACACTCACCCACACCTTTTTCCAAGTTTTTTACTATGGAATTTGCCCGCCGCTTTTCCCACACCAGTGAGATGCTTCAGGCCACTACGTTTAAGGACGCGCGGCAGCCCGGAGGCTTGCACGTAGACACAAACAACAACAACCGAAGCGCCAAGGCCGCCCAGGAGCCACAGCAGGATGCCAGCCCGACGTCTAGCCCCATCTTGGGCCCTCGCTCTGCCCCTTCGTCAACTCACCACATGGACAACCAGCGTCGGCGCCGCAGTCACTCGGAGTGCCTCCTTCTTGCCAAGACAAACGGCACACAAGATCTCCCGGGCCCGTGCGCCGAGTACATCAGTAACGTGAAGCAGATGCTGGCTCGAAACGACGACCAGCTCATGCAGCTTAAGCGACGCCGCAGCATGAACCTCGGCCACCCCTCACTCTTCAAGTAAAATCCCAGTCAGAGACGGACCCGCAGCGAAGAGAAAGCTGCACGTTGGCGTCGACCTGGAAAGAGTGTCGACAACGTTATTTTATAAAGAACCAAGCCGCTGTATTTAATACGAGAATAGTACACTCCGTTCGACTCAAAACTAATTGGACCTCCTCAGCTATTTTTCAATATTATCTGCTCTAATTGCTGATGTGTGTATGCAGCATGGGCAATGCAACTCTGAGTTTGTCCTCGCTCAGCGCACAGATGGGCAGGCGACAGAGCCCGCACTCGTTCATCTCCCAAGTGTCAGAAGAGGACGAGATCTTCCCGCGCTGGAGGCCTCGCACCAGCTCCTGCGTCTCCGTGTTCGCTCTTGTGTCCTCGGCAGCTTTACTGGCTTGACGTTTGAGGATGTTGAAGCGGGACATGCGGCGGTCACTTGTAATGATAGGTGGAGTGGTTCCTCGAGTAACAGAGACCACGTCGAGTACCACCCATGGCACTGTATTTCCCCGAACTTCTAGTGGAAACATTATCTTCTCCTCTGCCTTATCGTGGACAAACAGGGAGTCCAGAGGATCCATGTCTTCTTCCTCGTCAAATGGCTTAATGCTGGGTTTAGTAACAGCTTCAGCTAAGACCAAAGACTCTATCCTGAATACGATGGCCCCACAGCGACACTGTACCATGGTGGACGTGTCAGTGTTCTCCATGTGTGTATTTGAGTACGACTCTAGTTGTTTGAGGTATTCTGGCGAGGGATATTCGAAGAATTGTGCACAGTCTCGAGCGAAGCAATTCAGGATGTCGAAAATAGACATGTTTAACACACTGCGAAAGAAGAAAAACAGAATGTTGGTCAGAATTTCCTGAAGTGTCTTGGTGTCCTCTGCATCTTTCCCCAATGCGACAAAAACCACACAACCAGCCTCGTCACGAAGACGTCGCTGGATCACCGAAAAATACAGCGCCGCATGCTGCTGGAGCACATGCAAATCCAGAGTGACGCGAGCGTTGAGTAGGAAAGAAGTGCGATGTTTCTCTTCGTGAATTTCCTCGATAAAATGTGACGCTTTGTGCACATTTGCGTCGCCTGATTCGTGCCAACTCAGGTAGACAAAATGCACAAAATGGTCCACGTGTTGTGACTCAAATGCTTCGATGGCTAAAATGTCGTTACCGGCTGGACCAGAGCCACAGCCAACACAGCTTTTCACCTTTTGTGTGTCTTGCATCTTGATAATTTCAGCAGCAAGATAGAAATTCCAGAATAAACGAACAGGAACAATTACACCATGAGTTTCAACACGCTTTCGACCCGGTAAAGTTGCTGCAAATGGTCGAAATTCTGGTACAGCTTCAGTTGGCAAAACCTCAGTGTTAAACTGGAAGTGACTGACGAAAGACTCGTCGACGGGTGTCACAGGTAGCGCGTGCACTTCGTTTATCAACTTTTGAACTTGAGCGGCAATTGTTTCCAGCTTCGGACGCCGAGTTGGATCTCGCACTAAAATTTTGTCACAAAGTTCCAGTAAATTTATCACCACTGCTTCTTCCTCGCAACACGTGGGATTCAGTGCTGCAAACACTTTTTGCTTATGATCCGAGCGTAGAACAGGTTGGTCTTGAGTCACGACGAGATGCGCGTACAAACCAGCCCAATCATCTTAAAAAAAAAAGAGTGTAAGAACCACATTTTTTAAAAGAAGTATTTTTTTTAGGCGACCTTACCGTTCTGGAATAAAAGTTCTTGTGTCACCAACTCAAACAACAAACACCCAATCGACCAGATATCGCTGGCCAAAGTAACTTTCACTGCCACTTCACTGCCTTTAATCTTCAAGACCTCAGGACTCTTGATAGCTTCAGTCCCTCGTGTCCGAGTCAGCGACATGCACTTCTCTGTTCGTTTTGGAGCGCCGGGAGATGCCGCACTCGATGAAAAAGAGGAAAACGTGGCCGTTCGTACCGGTATTCGGTCGGTATCCACGACTTTGGCCTCTCCAAAGTCAGCGAAACACAGCCAACCTTTGCTAGGTTTGTCGATTTCATCGTTCTGCAACAATCGACGACTCAGCTCACGTGCACTCGACCGAACAAGAATATTATCACTCTGAGAAATAATACTACAACGTGAGTTCTAAGATACCACAACCTAGATGAAAAATAATCCTTTACCTTGATATCGAAGTGACACACACCAGCTTCGTGAATGCGATTCAAGCAGCAACAGGCTTCCTCAAACGCCCGTAGGATCATTATCACACAGGATCGGAACGGAACTACCGAGTCTGCCCTCTTGATTGAATCTCGCCACTCCGTCAGGGAACATGGACAAAATTCCATGACGATCCCAAAATTCTGCTCTTCGTGGCAATTCCCATAATCTACAAGCTGTGTAGCGGACAGTTCACCTCGTAGCTGGGAGAGAATCGACACTTCATTAAACAATCCGTTCACTGCACACATCTCTCCAGCTCTTCGTTGGTGCTCGACAACTTTCACAGCGACATATTCAGGCTTAGAAAATATTGTTTTTTGTCGATAAACCGTCGAAAACGCGCCTTTGGCGACGTACTCTCGTTGTTTGTCGTCTTTTGTTGCGTACTTCAAATTACTGTCCATGCGATTCGGGCACAGTAATCTCAAGAGCGAGCGAATCGCTGCTTGCCGTGCAGTCGATACAAAAGCTTGCAGTGTCGTCATCTCCACCATCAGAGCTTCAAAGTGTCTCTGGTCCATATCCACGACTGCTAAATGTTGCTGCAGCTTCCAAAGTAAATCGTCTGGTTTGCTAGAGTCTTCCGACACAGAAATCCGTGGACAGACTGTCTCGTCGATCGCTAGATTTGGATCGACGATGATGTACGTTACCACTAGAACAATTGCCAAAACGTGTAGCGCTGGCTCGCGTAAGACGAAATTCTGATCAAGATTCACTTGTTCGGGTCTAAAAGTGGCCAACTGTGGAGTTGAAAAAGATAATTTCGCCATGCCAGGTTGAACTCCCGAGGCACCAGAGGTGTCAGTACTAGACTGGCGAAAAAGCTTAAGTGGCGGTAAGCACGGCAACGAAGAACTTGTCCCGTTGCTACTGAGAGATCCATTTCTTTCAGGCTGAGATCGAGCGCTAACGTCATCGAAAGGCGTTTTTTTCGGTTGAACACGCTGTAAAACACACGAAAGCACTTGGTTGTGCTTGAATGCGTCTTGAATAGCTGGAAATTGCGCCTTCCGACTCGCTAGAGCGATCAAGCATCGCAAGTTCAGCTCCACTACTCGATGCACCATACTGCGTTCTTCTTGTCCTTCATTTTCAATAATACGGTCACAATACTGTTCAATTCGACGCCAATGACTAGCAACACAGAGCTCATAGTCGATAGGAGAGTTCACATCTTGAGCGGTGTATAGTGCTTGTTGGAAGCGTAGAAAAGCTTCTTCCAAATGGAAATACTTTCGTGAAATACTCGTGAGTAAATTGGGCGGTACAGACAGCGATCGGAATGTTACAGCCATTGGTAACATTCGTGACGTACCGTCCAATTTTACAGCAGAGCTCCCTCCACCGTTTGGGAACATCAGTTCGACCATAAACTCCCACAGAGTCGGATCGTCGTGCTCTTCCTCAATCATACGAGGTCCCAACATCCTGATTAGCAGCTCTCCTTTCAGCTGCTCGATGACTTCTGCATCCTCATTTAAATCTTCATCGCTAGGCTTGCTGTTCTTTGATTCCCACTCTGCTCGGACTGGCAACGCGATATCGAGATTCACGAACGTACTTAAGAAATTGAGCGCATTCATTTGAATACAGATAGCATCTCGTCCACCATTAACGTTTAGTGAACTGGGCGATAAAAGGAAGCGAAGAAGCGAAATGAGAGCGGGACAATCCATACCGAGAGCTCGAACCAGCATAACTTGAAGGTCCGGATCACTGGTGCGTCTTAACGCCACAGCAAACACTTTGATTAGCTCGCTCCCCATGCGAACATTCCGCAGTTGCTTCGATTGTGGTAATGCTGTTTGCTTGACGACATTACTCAGATTATTCACAATTTGCAGCAACTCGTTTAGACACAACACCAGCCATTCGTCTAAAAACACTTTTGGAATCCACTTGAAGACGTCCGCCAAGGCACTCAGAAAATAGTCACACGAGTCCTCTGCATCTGATTCTCCAGCTTGAGTAGCATCCAGCTTCAGCCTCTCGTTGAGTCCACGAATTTTGATCCGAAATAAATAAATAAACGCCAAATACTTTATATCGCCCACAGCTGAGCTCATTTCGTGTCTTCTTTTCCGTTCAAGACGAAAAAGCGTCGATACGCACGTGATAACTACGCGGAACTCACACGTGAGTGCGTCTCGTGTGTTGACATCTTGAGCTTCACTGCGTTGTTGCACAATACGAAGACATTCATCGAAAAAATGTCGGTGGAGTCCTTCAAGACGCAACAAGAGAGCAACATCGCGATCCCAGTTCGTAAACTGCTTTCTGTGGTACAGAAACCGTAAAGAAACCTGCAACACGAGCTCGTACATGGCCATTCTAGAAGACGATACCAAACGATTACGAGCACACGCTGTAGTGGCCTCACGTCGCTCTGGACATGAGCAGAAGGCGGTTGTGAACAGTGCCGGGTCTTCTGTCCACACGTCTGGAGATGTAAAGAAACCTTCTTGTACGTGAATTCCAAGATACGCTTGCACGGATACGGGACTGAGTCGGAAGAAGGCAAGCGTTGTCGAGCGTACAACTGGTGTCGAGGTCAGATTTGCTCCATACGACAGCGATAGCGACTTCCGAGACTTTGTCTGCACTTTTCGTGCCAGTTTAAACACGCTCATCCTGCGATCTCCTCTGTCTTGTAGCGTACTGGCAGCAGTAGCCGGCGGAGGGAACAATCGAAAGGAGCGGGAGTCTGCCTTTCCCCGTAACTCCGATCCATACGCTGCTTGTCTATCGACTTCTTCGTGGCGGAGAGCCTTCCAGAGAAGCGAAATACTTTGATTCCGCAGAAATAATCGCAAGAAAACTGGAAATACGGCCACAAGGTCGCGAGTAAAGTCGATCAACGCAGCCGGAATACGAACTCGGGCTCCAAATATTTGACAAAGCTGATGAACCAAGCGGCAAATTACCGCGTCATCACACCGTATAGTCATGAAAAGAATGTCAAAACGGATAGCGCGTGCAAATTGTACTAACGTTTCCCGCTTTGTACCCATTTGGTCCGTCTCGGAAAAAGCCGCTGAAATGAGCAAAAGCTCCAATAGAATCGGGATAATTCGTGTTGCCAGCCGTTTCTTCTGTATTGGCCAGTGCGCTGACTTCGAGAACGTAGTAATCCCATCACGGACCGTAGTGGTCATGAAGCAGAGATGCATCTCGTGTAACACGGCCACAAACGAGTCAGGAGGAGCTTCATGTGGAGTAATAAGCCCACAAACAGCGTCAGTTGCATTGAGTGCAGCCAGTTCCTTGTCGTTTGAGCTGAGATCGATGCAGTTTTGAAGTGAGGATTGTTGCGATAGAACTGCAGTCTTCTTGAGTATCACTCGATCTGGAGTCAAAAAGTTGTCACGGATAGCGCCAAATCTGACAGTAACACAAATATGTTAGCCTCAAACATTTTACGAATAACTCAAATAACGCACGTGAAATTGGGTTCAAATGTGCGTTTCGAGGAGAACGACGTTGCCAAGAGAAGTGCCAATGGGTTGTGCGTGCCATCTGCAACTGTGATGGCACATTTATTAAAGTCAAACTCCACTTGTCGAATTTTTATTACAGAAGAATCCGCAGCGTTTCCAGATACTGCAAAGATGTAAAACCCGCAAGCTTCGGGCATTAATCCAAGGGAATACGCAGACGGAGGGATCATCGAACATGTCCAGTCTTCCAGTCTGGTGTCCTCGTCTAGATGGGGTTCGCTACACAATTCAAAGACAACAGCTTGAACTTGAGGGAGAAAGCGCTTCCAGCAATGTTCCAAAAGGAAATACGACTCACACGCTAGACGCAAAATGTGTACTGGCGTCACATCTTGCTCTTTCTTACGCAACTTTGCCAATTGAACCGCGTCGCCCGTTTTCTTCACATCTTTGCCCTTCACAAGTGCCAACGCTCTCACGGCTTGTCGAAACTTCACGTACACTGCGATCGCTGCGTCTTCTTCTTTTACCAATAGAAAAGTTCCAGGCGGTTGAGTGAGCAGCGACGTCATCGCCGCCTCGCAGCTCGGGGCCAAGACAGCCACAAAACGCGGATCTTTCTGGCTTGTCGTGGCGGGAATGAACTTTGCGTCGTGATGGCTGTTGCCCCCAGAGGGGAAGCTGTAGGCAGCAGCACTTTGATCGCCCGACTTGTCGCTCAGCATCACGACCACAGCACCAACCGCCAACTCCTCTTCGTCGCGCCGACTTCCACGTCGAGACAGAGTCTTCGATCGGTCCGATGTGGAGGGTGCTCCTCTCGGAGCTACACTCATGGCTATAGTCGAGTATACTCCCGCCAGCTCTATTTAGTAGCCGCCAACCGCCGGTTACAGCGATATGAGGGGTCAGGAGTTATTACTCAATGGCATCACTCTAGTGCAATCACTCTGAGTGCCGAATTATTCTCTGAAATTTATTTCTCAGAGGAAAGAAGAGGTGTTGCTTTGTGGAATCTTGAACTCCTGTCGGAAAGAGATGTCTTCTTATAAACTCAAATAATGCGACTCCTTGGATCTTAACTCCTTAACTATCTGAGTGGAAAAGATTGACTGTTGCCTGTGTCGTCTGGACTGGGTCCCAATAATATTACACAATGATGCAAGAGGGTGTCGAAGACTTTCAGTAAAACGTGTCCGAAAATAGTTTTGGCAACGAAAATAACTTTTTTGCTACGTACTTTTATTTCCCCTTTTTGCAAATTTCTGAAAGCCTCATTGTCGACTAAAGTCGACGTGCGTTTTCATCGGGTCTCATGCCACAAAAGCAAATGACGAGTCAAGAGTTAAGCAGTGCCCCAATAGACCGACTCCCCTAGTACTCACTCTCAGAAATCTTTAATGTCATCTGGAGCGCATCATCTTCGGAGTAGAGGCCTCCCTTCAAACTTTGAGTAACTCGTTTAATTCGTTGTCCACTTCGCAAGGCCATCGTCGACTTGTCCAGCTCCAAGGCATTTTTTGCAGCCTCCACGGCAGCCTGTTTTGCCTCCTTCATGTGTTTATTCATGATCTCGTAAGCGGCAGAATTTTCCACACCATCGGCTTCGTGCTTCTCATGTAACATCCTCATCTCACGTGGCTTGATCGTAGCTTTTCGGAATCGTTTCGTAGGTTTATTACCTTGACCAGTAGCATCACTTTCGCAGTGTTCCATACATTTGCCACGTAGCTGGACTCGCTTCTTGCATCCTGGGTGCGAGCAGTTAACCCATCCACCATGAGATACGCATTTCCCATTCGCTTGCCACACTCGTTTTCCGAGCAAATTGTTCCCCCTCCATGAGCGACGCACTTGCCTTTAGTTTTGGCCCGAGTCGTACAGTTCGGGTGCGAACATAGTGCCCCTCCACCATGTGCGTAACATTTTTGCTGGGAGCGAGAGCGACGACCGCAACCGTCTTCTGAGCATCGAGAGCCCCCACCATGCGCAATACATTTGCCACCCGAGTGAGCAAACCTAGTGCAATCTGGCAGAGAGCAACGGGGGCGACTAGTACGCTTAACGCATCTAGATTTCGACTGTACTGGCTGCGGCAATTTTGGAAAAGCACTGTAATGGTCTCGGGCACTGGTACAGCGTTGAACTTTGGCTGTGGACGAGCCTCGGTCTTCAGAATTTGACTGCTTGTTGGATGTGGAGAAGGGTAGTTCACTGTGGAATAGGTCGTCATCACCTCTGTTTGGTAAACGAGAGATCCTCGTTCGAGTTGTCTGGCGTTGCTTCGTTGGTGCAACTTCAATAATGGTTGCTTTACTCGCTCGGAGGCTTATATTTTCGATTGTTGCCTCTCCGGAGATGCCATCGACTGCAATATCCTTCTTCGTCGCTTTCTGGGCTCTGGCGCTTGACGTCTTGGCATATTTGATTGCCTGGGTCTCCTTCATCTCCGTTAGAATAGATTGTTTCCTGGTTTTCTTTGATACTCTGGACCTTGTAGATCTTCGCTGGTCTGTCTGCTTTTCCAATGCCTTAGTCTCCGTCAGTTCGCTCTGCACATCAGACTTTGGTCGTATTTCAACGGACTCGTTGCTTACGTCGCCAGTTTTGCTGCTGGTACTCTGCTGCTTCATCATACCGGTAGCTGACAACGAATCAGCTTTCGCCATCACATCAGAGCAAGTCTTTTTAGTATTGACACTAGGATTCTCCTGTGTTCGTTTAATCTTCTTTTTCCCGTTTGCAGTCTCAAGTTTCGTTGCATGATTGGAATTAGCGTTTGACGCTGGCGTAGAGGAACTTTGTCTGGTTATCAGAGATCTTTTCCTTTTCCCCCGGCGCTCTGCTTGCACTACTTCCTGTTCAGCTGCTAAGGAGGTAGAGTTGCTATATCGCTGCCGCTTCTTGTCCTCGCATTCAGCAGTTTCAGGATCAGCTTTTACCTTAGTCGTCACATTCTTCCTAGGTCCCGTGTCTTTCTGCATTCGCTTCTTCTGCTTCTTTTTCAGTCTCTTGTTTTTCGGTTCCTGCTTCTCCTGTGCCTTCGACTCGCAATCAAAACCTTCTGTTGCTATTGGCCAATTAGTATTTCCAACCGCCTCAGACCGAGTACACTTGATTTCAGTATGTTCCACTTCGTTAGAGACGTCGACTTGGTTTGTATTCTCTTCGTCACTTAATACGCCTCTGCCGACAAAGCGTCTGGCCTCGCTCGACACTCCTTTGGTCACCTCCATTGGCACTAGCACGCCCATCACCGAGATGAACTCCAATTCGACATCGTCGGCGTCCACCGCCATCGCCTTGCTTGCACTTTTTAAAAGCTCAACAGAAAATTAGGTTCTGGTAAATTTTTAAGCTTTTGAAAAAAAAAGAGACTGAAGGGAACAAATTGCTAAAAAAAAAGTAATCGATATTGAAGTGGTCGATCTATCCCTCCTGATGGCGCCTTCCAGTTAAAACGATGTGGTGACATCGACACCACCCAGTCGACCGTCGGCATACCCTCCTGCGCGGTTCTGCGCGTTGCCCAGGTCGAACTCACCACTTGGGCCCACCGCCTCGCATTCCACACGGTCGTCGTCGGCCAATTCCTCACGTAGCCAGTGTTCCACCACCTTATACATCGGGATCTTCCCTCCATCAGTACACTGCTGAATCGGACCATAGAACCCAACAGTACCGCGACGAATATACAGCACATGAGATGCCCAGACGTCCGTCCCATCGAAGATGTGCGTGGCTAGCAACACCGTGGCTTGTCGAGTCTCTGTTTCCTCCTTTAGGAATGCCAGTACGTTTTCGCGCGAGATGATGTCGAGCATTCCCAGCACTTCGTCCAGTACGATGAGCTGCGAAGGTCTCAGTAGCGCCAGAAAGAGCTGAACGCGGCGACGTTGACCGTCCGACAGGCGATGTAAACGCCACTTTGGGTCAATACGCAACACCTTCAGTAACTTTTGGCGTCGCTCCGGGTGTTCACTCTGCAGTTTCGTCATCATTTCTTCCACCGCCATGTCAGCCGAGTAAGCCATTGCGTGCGTTGCGAACGCCACCGAGCGCTGCCCCCAGTCGGCACTAACGAAAGTCCTTAAAGCGTTGAGTGTCGTGTCACGGAAGCTGTCTCGACCGAAGATCAGCGCCGTGTCGTCAGCCGTCAGGTGCTTGCCAGCCAAGATACTGAGTAGCGTGCTTTTGCCAGCTCCATTACCACCCACGACCAACAGGCGCTGACCAGACTGCAGCGTTAGATTCACGTCACGCAGGACTCGATCGTCGTCTTCCATGGCGTCAGCAGTAGCGGGGTCATGCTGCAAGCGATTGATGAGTTGGCCACCGATAGTAACTTTGGCGAACGCAAAGTTAAGACGGCGAAGCTCCACAAAGGGAGATGCTTCTTTATTGGCGGTGCTCATCTTTATTGTGTGTTTCCAAAGTTTAGGGCCCCTTTGGAACCTCAAAAATATTGCAATATTCGCGATCCGATTGCCCAAAATGGCATTTTCAAAAATACCAAGCAATCGCAATCGCATTTAGAAATTTCGGACAATCGTGTGGACCACATATACAGCGAAAAAAATACTCTTAAAACGCTAGGGCTAGCGTTTAAAGTAAAGAAATGGCGGCATCCATGGCAAGGTCCAATTGCCATGTGCCATGCTACTTTATCTTCATTAACGTAAGTTGTAATAATAGTTTTCATGATGGCACAACGGCAGGGCAAATCTATTCTTAACCACGCCATGCCATGGCACTCAGCCACGCCTTGGTGGCACAGGTGGCATCTCATTGTTAGAAATGAAATTTGTAACAAAGTGCCATCGGTAATTACTCAGTTTGCCGAAATAGCATATTTCACTAGAATTTCCCTTTCAAACGAAACCTTGCTGGCAAGCTCAAGCGCACGAAGGGCTCCAAGAGGCCGGACATCAGCAAGCAGAAGAGATCAAGGTTGCGTCGAGGACTTGTCCAGCAGCAGCTTCATCTACTGCAACCGCTGATAATGTCGCATCCCCCTCCCTTGCCGTGCCCGTCACAAGCGCGGCGCCGAACAACCTCGAGCAAGCTGTGACTGCATCGCTGAGGTTGTCCACGGGTTCCCTTCCAGCTTTCGCGGCCAATAAGCAGCAAGGATCGGCACAGCTCACTATGAACGATTCGATTGAAACCCAAAGCACACTAAATCGAGCACCGGTCCTGCCGGTGAGGGATGGAGCAGCTCCTACAACACTAGATAAGACAGCTGACCAGTGTTCGAGGGACCTGTTTACCAGCTCATTTATTTCGAAGCTGAGAATGCCACTGCCAGCTACTGGTCAAATTCTGAGAGGTGCTTACACTAACGACGAGCTTCTGGAAATGCTCAGCTCCGATGAAGAGTCCGAACTGCAAGAGATGGTTCCGGCGACCGTCATTCGCGCCAACTTCATGCTAGATTCTGCTGGCAAAACTGAGTACACTGCCACGAATAACTAATTGGGCAGTTAAACGTCGTACCTCCCACCACAAATCACTTTGACAAGTGAAACTCCGCTTTGAGCGGACAATCAGCAAACCGGAACAGATTTGCCACATCACAGCATACGAGCGTGCTGTGCAGGCCTCCGTTGATGAAGGAAACCTTCTGGACCCGAGCCAACGGAAGACCAAACACTGCCCCATTCGACTGTTGCAAGTCTCATTCTGTCGCAAACTGCGATCGGTGCAGTTGCGCCATTAACGACCTGGGACCTAGCTATCGATGGCGACGGCCTGCACACGAAACCAACGAAACTCCCACTACATATTACGGTAGCCTAGGATCACTATCTGTGGCAAACCTACTTAACCTTCTCATTCCAAAATATACCCGGTGCGAGGCACCAGAGCAGGAAGAACCTCTGTGTTCTGGGATAGCCTGCTCACGTCAGGTTATGAGCCGAACCTCTGCTCCGACCAGTGAAGACTTCGACGCTTCGCGAGGCGACGTAGAAGACCTAAGCGAAGAGGCCGACGCGCGAGGTGCCGACGCCTTTGAAGACGCCCGCGAGGAAATACGAATAGGTTTCCCTGACGATCTACGCTTTAATCCCTCGGAATAAGTCACCATGGAGCAGCACGACCAGCTCCAGTTGATTCGTCAGCTGCAGGCAGATCTGGCAGCCATGAAAAGCCAATTTGCAGCAAGAGCTCCATCAATGTCGGACACTAGCATGGAATCAGCCCCTCCTTCGCCGAAGAAACCCAAAATTAAGGACGTGCGCTGCTCAAACTTCAAGGGAAACGAGGTTTACCCTGGTTTAGGCGCCGGATTTGAAAACTTTATCCACGAGTTCGAACACGCAATTCGAACCGAAGGGCTAGTGAATGGCTCAACCTGGACCAACGAGCTTAAGGCGTCGGTGATCGCTAACTATCTGGAAGGTAAAGCGTCCAGGTATTACCATAAGAAAAGCTCAGAGTGGCAACGACGTCACGACGGTAAAAACATACCATATTCAGAGGTGAAGCGCGCGATGCGTGCAGAATTTGGCTGTATGTTAAGCCAACTGGAGCTCAGCACCAAGATGCGTTGTAATAAACGAAAAAGTGACTCGTGGCACGATTACTTAGAGTATTTGAACTTTATTGAAGGACTTATGGAGGGAGACCAGACGAAGCTAGTGATGGAAGTATTTGGTAACCCCGCATGCCCTGAACTCGCAGCTACATTTCTGGCGGCCGTACCTGAAGACACTACGGATTATGCTACAGAAACCGACCGCACGAAGCGATTACTGTACAAGCTTAGAGACGATGGACGACGCCATAGCAGCAAGCAAGATGACAGGAAAATACGTCAAGGTGACCACCGCAACGAAAATTTAAACGGTGTACGCGGGCAAAAACGCAACAATAGCCAAAGGGAAGAACGATCGTGGCGAAACCATAAAAGCAATGACGAAGACAGTGATTAACAGTCTCACCAGCAGAACAATGGTCAAGCATTTGCTGCTGCTTCTGGAAATCGACACCAGATTCGATGTCACGTCTGTAACCAGCTCGGGCACAAGGTTTTTACATGTCCAGTGGTGGAACATGCCAAGAAACTAGCATCCACAACCAGTAGTGCGCATGTTGCGACGGCGACTGACAATATTGCAGTCAGTACCGGTAGTGTGAATACAGCCACAGCTGAAGAAGGAGACAACAGTTCTTCTAGCGACTCTGACGATGAAGCCCCCGTCTGGGTAGCGGCTAGCACTACCGACTCAGCCAATTTCTTCAAGTCGAGCGAGTTTGGACCATAGATTCTGGAGCAACACACCACTTGTGCATGAATCGCAAGCAACTTTTCGCAATTAAATCAGCATTTCTCTCTGTTCGAGTCGCTTATGGCAATGTTGAGCTCGCTACCAAAAAGGGCAACACTGTCGTCACGACAACTACGCGTACTGTAGAAAAGCATACTGTCCTATTAAAAAATGTGTATTACGCGAAAGGTATCGATCGCAACCTCATATCGGTCGCTCAGCTTACACAAAAGGGATACTCCTGCGAATTCGGGAAGGACCTGTGTACGAGAACGAGTGATACGGGCAAGCAGATTGCTGAAGTGGAAAAATGTTCGCTAAACGGACTTTGGCCGGTCGGTATCGAGGAAGCTGCTGCTTCTTTTGCAGAAATGAAAATTTCTACTCTACGACAGGGGCTTGAACGACTTGGTCACGTGAGCTACCAGGACCTTTTTCGCATGATGGACAAGAAACTTGTCGGTGGCATGGTGGTATCTAACAGGAAAGTGGATTTCTATATTAACTGTGCCGAGGCGAAGCAAGCCCGCCGACCCAAGAACAAACACGACACGTCTGCTTCTGCTCCGACGAATGAACCGGGTGCAACCCTGTGTGTAGACCTAAAGACCGACATGACTCCAGACCGCCTCGGTCACAAACACATCCTGACTATCGTGGACCACGCCACAAATTTTAACCGCGTCTACTTGCTCAGTAAGAAGAGTAAAGCTGAAGAACACTTGGAGAACCTCATCAGTGAGTTCGAACGACAGTATGATACGAATGTGAAAGTGGTTCGATCTGACGGTGGTGGTGAATTTATCAGAGGAAGACTGAATCGTTTCCCAATCGTGGAATTCGCCATCAACTCACCGAACGTGACATGTCCTCTTCTAACGGAAAGGCCGAGCGCTTTCACAGGACATTGATGGACTCCACTAAAGCTATGCTTTGGGCTTCTACATTACCTCAGAGATTCTAGTGCGATGCCGTTCTTTACGCCAGCTACATCCGGAACTACTTGCCTACCCGTGCGAATGCAAACTGAGCTCGCCTATTGAGGCTTTATATGGAAAAGTGCCTAGTGTTTCGCACATTTTAAGGTTTGGATCGAAATGTACAAGTCATATCGCCCATCCTTCGAAGAAGTCGACCAAGAAACGTGCTGAAAAAGGAATTGTCATTGGTGTTGACTCTCAAATGAAAGCGTACCGTGTTTACATCCCGCGCACCAAGCGAGTTATTTCGACGACTCACATCCAAAACATTGACCGACTGGATACGCGTGCTGTGGGGCGATATATGGACGCTACCGACGCTATTAACGCTGATGAAGCCGCAAACGAAGGTGACAGAGCCACAGAAGATGTCTCTAGCCCTCGCGAAGAGTCTGAACTAGGCGAAGCTGATGTGGGGAGCCCAGTGGAGAACTAACAACTCACCTCACGTGTCATTCAACGTATCTTTGGCCTCAATCGCGGTAACAGTAGTCCAGAACGAGACGATTTTCAACTACCTCTATCTTTCCTCGACGAATCCGCTACTCCTGTGACTGCCTTGCTGACAGTAGCGCCCCGTGAAGGAACCGCATTTGTAACTCTACTGGAATCCGATAGAACTAAGGTACCTACGACAGTCGCAGGAGCAATGAACAGCCCGTACTGCCGTGAATGGATGCAGGCGATGCAGGAAGAGCTCCACGCGATATCCAGCAACGCCACGTGGGAAATTGTCGACATTCCTTCCGATGGAAATCTGATAACTGCAAAATGGGTGCTTAAGATAAAATTCGACAACAAAGGAGAACTGGAACGATTCAAAGCTCGGCTTGTAGCGCGCGGCTTCAACCAGAAATATGGAGTTGATTTCGAAGCGACTTTCGCACCTGTACTGAAGATCGCAAGTCTACGACTGATTGTCGCTCTTGCAGCATTGTGGCACGCTATTGTTCGCCAAGGAGACGTACCCAACGCTTACCTTCGAGCTAACCTGGATCGACCTATCTACATGCGAGCCCCTGCTGGTCTCCGAGTATCAAAAGGCAAGTGTATGCTGTTATTAAAGAGTCTCTACGGTCTTAAACAGAGCGGGAAGCTCTGGAACGATACCATCCACACCTACTTGCTGGAACTCGGCTTCGAGAGGAGCCAACTCGACCCGTGCCTGTACTTTCGACGATACAATGGCAACCTCACCATACTCGGCCTCTATGTCGATGACGTAGTAGTAGTCAGCCAGCGTGAGAGCGATACCAATTGGACAATGAAGAAGCTAAGTGACCAATTTCAAATCAAGGACATGGGTCCCGCCAAAAGATGCCTTGGGATCAACATTGCGCAGAGCACACCGGGCATTTATATGGATCAAACTACAAGCATCGATAGCTTACTGGCGAAGTTAGATATGGAAAATTGCCGTCCTGTGAAGACGCCCATGAAATCGACTCAAAACCTACACAGTGAAGACTGCGAGCCGCATTTTGACACGAGCAACATGCGAGAGACCATTGGCTCGTTATTGTTGATTAGTACGAGCACTCGTCCTGATATCATTATGACGGTGAACTACCTTGCCCGTTTCGTTGCCGCACCGACTATTACTCATTGGACAGCTGCCAAACGAATCCTCCGGTACCTGAAGGGGACTCGGGAGCTGAAGCTTGAGTTCCTCCGACCCCAGGCACCCCAACACAGAATTGATGTAGCCATTTACAGCGATGCTGACTGTGCAGGCGACAAGGACGCTAAATCTACGTATGGTGGTCTGCTTACCATGAATGACATGCCGATCGCCTGGTATAGCAAGAAACAATCGACAGTAGCTCTATCAACGGCAGAAGCGGAGTATATTGCCGGAGCAACTGCAGTCCAAGACTGTTTGTGGGTGAAACAATTGATTGACGAGCTCAAACTGAGAGTCAAAGGTGATAATGTCATCCTACACGTTGATAATCAGAGCGCCATCAAAAACATGGAGAATGACGTGACAACCGCCCGCATGAAACACATCAACATAAAGTTCCACTTTATTCGTGACGCTATTCGCAATGAGGGAATCAGCATACGCTACTGCCCAACTACGGAGATGAAAGCTGATATCCTGACTAAACCACTCGGTACTACACTGCATGGACGCAATGTGGCGACGCTCAAATTGATCACGTCATGACCAACATACATCTATATCACGCCTGTCACATCGAGGAGGAGTGTTGCAAGTCTCATTCTGTCGCAAACTGCGATCGGTGCAGTTGCGCCATTAACGACCTGGGACCTAACTATCGATGGCGACGGCCTGCATACGAAACCAACGAAACTCCCACTACATATTACGGTAGCCTAGGATCACTATCTGTGGCAAACCTACTTAACCCCTTGGTTCCCGACGTCGTAACTTACGACATGACTCTTTTTTTATGTCGTAACTTACGATATAATTGGAATAACATTAGAACATGGCTCAAAAATGGAAATCCTTTACTTTAATCAAGTCATTTGAAATCGATAAAGTTCAACCGGTAAATGAGAAAAATCCAAAAACGAGCCAGGGATCAGGGACGCGCGGAAAAGATGGGATACGCGGGAAAGTATCCATTTGCCACTCAGTGGCCCACAGCCCATTACAGAATTTGCTCGATGGCTCGCATCCGGCCTGGAAAACGAACCAAAACAGCCGCCGTTGCTGCGGTGGCGCGCAACATTGACTTTGGCCACTTTTGGCGACAACTTCGAGCTGTGGAATGGAAGTACAAGCGACCAACCGGGATACAAACTAAAGGGAAGTACGTAAGTGCAGATGGTTCAAAGGTGTTAGTTGGAGAGGAGGCTGTGGTGGCGTATGCATTAGAGACAGGAATATTGGATGAACCGGAGAGCGCAGAGGAAGCCAACGCTGCAGACGATGAGGTCGCTGTTGACGTAGTAGCCGACGATGACGAGAGCGCCGCTGCCTCTGCTACTGAAGACGCCGTCACTTCCAGTAAAGACGCCGCCGATAATTGTTTAGAGGACGTACGTGCGTCGCAGATCGACACAAGTGCTGAGCTGTCACAGCAGACCATGAATGATCTGTTTGGCACCCCAAGCAGCTGCAATAGCTCTGAAGTCGAGCTTTCACAGGCAGCAGTTACCCGGGCTTTTAATTTGTCGCCCGGAGAGCTTCGAGACGCAGCGACAAACCTGCAGTTTCTGTCATCTGGACCCGAGAGTGACGCTCAGTCGGATGTTGGCGCTGCTTCCCCGCCTGACAGTCCAGTGCCCGCACAGCCTATAACTGTGTCGACCGCCCTACCTGTAACTGTGCCCGTCGCCCAACCTACACGTGAGCCTGACGCCCAACCCGTACGCAAGCACGCTTCCCAACCTGTTCGTGTGCCAGCTACGCCGACCTGTCCTGTCCTACGCCCCCGTCATCCTGTCAAGAAGGATGTAAATTTTGTGGCTGACGACGAAGACCTGAGTGACTACGAGAGCTTTAGCTCTGGAGACAGTGATGACGACATTGAAGAAGACAATGATGACGATGATGGCAATGATTGTGAAGTACCTGAAGA